CCATGTGGAGGACTTCCGTCCTCCTAAGAAGTAGGTCTTTGGTTCAGTCATCATTCAGCTGTATCTGAGGCTGGGACTTTGTTCATTAATGTAATGTTGATAAATCAGTTAATAACAGCAAACTTTTGGATATATTGTTACATCAGAGTGGATTTAATTATTATCGTACATTTAGAGGAGAAAATTAGTAATTTATGAAATGATGGAAAATAAAAACCCACAGGAAGAACTTTAGTTTGAGTTTCCTTCATCCTCGATGTGATTTTCTGGTGACCTTTAACCTGTCTCCCACTTATGGGAGCGCTCCTTCAGCTGGAGCCTCCTGCTCTCCTCAGCTTAAAGCCACGGCTCCTCTGTCTCCAGGTCCACCGTCCTGCAGCAGCAGTTCAACAAGATGGGCAAGGTGGAGACCGGCTCGGTTGCCCTGCCAGCCATCATGCGCTCTGGAGCCGGAGGTCCAGAGAGTTTCCAGATGGGTTCCATGCCCCAAGCCAAGCAGCACATCACCAGCGGCCAGATGCACAGGGGACACATGCCTCCTCTGGTAAAACCAAAGCAGCTGTGTTAGCTCTGCTGGTTCCACAGATGGGAGCATTAAACAACTGGAACCATGATCTGCTTTAAGCTCCATTTACCTGATTAGAGTCTAGATCTCTGTGGACTTTTCACACAAGGCTTCCTAACTGCTCAGTCGTAATGATTATTTAGCCCAACATGTGCTGCACTGCATCAGCATCATCTAGTCCAACGGTCCAAGACCAGAATCGCTCTCTACCAGGGCTGCAGGAACACAGTGACGGTGTTTGCTTCTCTGGTCGAGGAACGTTCATAGGTCAACCTGAGATCCCAATCCTCTGCAGAGCTCTCTGGAACTGCTGGGATCAAAGTCCAGACAGAGGTCCCAGGAAATGAGATGTTTCCACTGAGTTTTATGTCTTGTTTCCACAGACGTCGGCACAGCAGGCCCTAACTGGAACCATCAACTCCAGCATGCAGGCCGTGCAGGCGGCCCAGGCCTCCCTGGATGACTTTGATACTCTGCCTCCGTTAGGAACAGATCCTGTGAGTTTTACTCTGAGACGATCCAGACGGCTTCAGAAACACCTGAACAGGATCTCTGTTTTTTAGAACAGGTCAAATTATCCAGAACTAAAGCTGCTGTCAGATGTCGTTTCCTCTGAACCAGAAATGTTCATCATTATTAGGCTTATATCTGCCAAAAAGTATTTTCTTTATTTGAATTAGCAGTTTAATGTAGTTTCTGTTGTTCAGTGAGGAGAAGCTAAGCTGCTCTACGTGTTCCTGATGTGACATGTTGCCTTTTTCCTGCATTATGTTCCTCTGCTGAAAGGCATCCCAAGCCTGGCGCAAAAACAAGATGGACGAGTCCAAGCATGAGATCCATTCCCAGGTGGATGCCATCACAGCAGGCACAGCCTCCATGGTCAACCTCACTGCAGGTAGAGAATGACCAAATATTCAGTTTCACCTCGTTCTATGTGGACAGGATTATTTAACTAGTTTCAATAATTTAACCCATATTCAGTCACCCTAAATATTACCATACCCAGCGTCTATCTAACCGTTACCAGCCCATTACTAGCCCCTACCTAACCATTACCGCCCCCTACCTGACCATTACTAGCCCTTATCTAACCTTTATCATTCCCTACCTAACTGTTGCCATCCCCTAGCTAACCATTATGCCCCCTTCCTAACCGTTAGTAGCCCCTATCTAACCATTACAAGCCCCTACCTAACAGTTATCAGCCCCTGTATAACCATGACCAGCCCCTATCTAACCATTACCAGGCCCTACCTAAACGTTACCACCCCCTACCTTACTGTTACCGCCCCTTACCTAACCTTTACTAGCCCCCGTCTAACCATTACCAGCCCCTATATAACAATTTTCAGTGCCCACCTAACCATTACTAGCCCCTATCTAACCATTACCTAGCCCCTAGCTAATCGTTACCAGCCCCTAGCTAACCATTACCTAGCCCCTAGCTAATCGTTACCAGCCCCTAGCTAATCGTTACCAGCCCCTAGCTAATCGTTACCAGCCCCTAGCTAATCGTTACCACCCCCTAGCTAATCGTTACCAGCCCCTAGCTAACCGTTACCAGCCCCTAGCTAACCGTTACCAGCCCCTAGCTAACCGTTACCAGCCCCTAGCTAATCGTTACCAGCCCCTAGCTAATCGTTACCAGCCCCTAGCTAACCGTTACCAGCCCCTAGCTAATCGTTACCACCCCCTAGCTAATCGTTACCACCCCCTAGCTAATCGTTACCAGCCCCTAGCTAATCGTTACCACCCCCTAGCTAACCGTTACCAGCCCCTAGCTAACCGTTACCAGCCCCTAGCTAACCGTTACCAGCCCCTAGCTAACCGTTACCAGCCCCTAGCTAATCGTTACCACCCCCTAGCTAACCATTATGCCCCCTTCCTAACCGTTAGTAGCCCCTATCTAACCATTACAAGCCCCTACCTAACAGTTATCAGCCCCTGTATAACCATGACCAGCCCCTATCTAACCATTACCAGGCCCTACCTAAACGTTACCACCCCCTACCTTACTGTTACCGCCCCTTACCTAACCTTTACTAGCCCCCGTCTAACCATTACCAGCCCCTATATAACAATTTTCAGTGCCCACCTAACCATTACTAGCCCCTATCTAACCATTACCTAGCCCCTAGCTAATCGTTACCAGCCCCTAGCTAACCATTACCTAGCCCCTAGCTAATCGTTACCAGCCCCTAGCTAATCGTTACCAGCCCCTAGCTAATCGTTACCAGCCCCTAGCTAATCGTTACCACCCCCTAGCTAATCGTTACCAGCCCCTAGCTAACCGTTACCAGCCCCTAGCTAACCGTTACCAGCCCCTAGCTAACCGTTACCAGCCCCTAGCTAACCGTTACCAGCCCCTAGCTAATCGTTACCAGCCCCTAGCTAATCGTTACCAGCCCCTAGCTAACCGTTACCAGCCCCTAGCTAATCGTTACCAGCCCCTAGCTAATCGTTACCACCCCCTAGCTAATCGTTACCAGCCCCTAGCTAATCGTTACCACCCCCTAGCTAACCGTTACCAGCCCCTAGCTAACCGTTACCAGCCCCTAGCTAACCGTTACCAGCCCCTAGCTAACCGTTACCAGCCCCTAGCTAATCGTTACCACCCCCTAGCTAATCGTTACCAGCCCCTAGCTAACCGTTACCAGCCCCTAGCTAACCGTTACCAGCCCCTAGCTAACCGTTACCAGCCCCTAGCTAACCGTTACCAGCCCCTAGCTAACCGTTACCAGCCCCTAGCTAACTGTTACCAGCCCCTAGCTAACCGTTACCAGCCCCTAGCTAACCATTTCTAGCCCCTAGCTAACCATTACCGGCCCCTATATAACAATTTTCAGTGCCCACCTAACCATTACTAGCCCCTATCTAACCATTACCTAGCCCCTAGCTAATCGTTACCAGCCCCTAGCTAACCATTACCTAGCCCCTAGCTAATCGTTACCAGCCCCTAGCTAATCGTTACCAGCCCCTAGCTAATCGTTACCAGCCCCTAGCTAATCGTTACCACCCCCTAGCTAATCGTTACCAGCCCCTAGCTAACCGTTACCAGCCCCTAGCTAACCGTTACCAGCCCCTAGCTAACCGTTACCAGCCCCTAGCTAACCGTTACCAGCCCCTAGCTAATCGTTACCAGCCCCTAGCTAATCGTTACCAGCCCCTAGCTAACCGTTACCAGCCCCTAGCTAATCGTTACCAGCCCCTAGCTAATCGTTACCACCCCCTAGCTAATCGTTACCAGCCCCTAGCTAATCGTTACCACCCCCTAGCTAACCGTTACCAGCCCCTAGCTAACCGTTACCAGCCCCTAGCTAACCGTTACCAGCCCCTAGCTAATCGTTACCACCCCCTAGCTAATCGTTACCAGCCCCTAGCTAACCGTTACCAGCCCCTAGCTAACCGTTACCAGCCCCTAGCTAACCGTTACCAGCCCCTAGCTAACCGTTACCAGCCCCTAGCTAACTGTTACCAGCCCCTAGCTAACCGTTACCAGCCCCTAGCTAACCATTTCTAGCCCCTAGCTAACCATTACCGGCCCCTACCTAATCGTTACCCTGAAGCCTTATCGTTTGCAGTTAAGAAAATGATGAGCAGCTAAATTTCTTCACTTTGGTCCAAATATTCTTTGATATATTGTTTGATTGTTAAATTTAGAACAACGGTCCTCACTGTGATGCCAAAACAGAAGCGGATACACACATTTATTAAAGAATAGCTCAGGCTTTATAATGGTATAATATAGTTACTGTTAATAATCAATGATCTCAGGCTTTATAATATAGTTTATTTCCTGCATTAGAGGAAATGATGCTAACTGTTGGAGTAAATGCGTCGGCCATGTTTGTTCTTAGGAGATCCAGCTGAGACGGACTATACGGCGGTGGGCTGTGCCGTCACCACCATCTCCTCCAACCTGACGGAGATGTCTAAAGGTGTGAAGCTCCTGGCAGCCCTCATGGAGGATGAAGGTGGAAACGGGCAGCAGCTGCTGGGTGCAGCCAAGAACCTGGCCGGCGCCGTTTCTGACATGCTGAAGACGGCGCAGCCGGCTAATACAGAGGTAGACGGCTGAAGGAGCAGAGACCGTGCTCTGATTTCTGTCTGCATTCATTGAGCTTCATGTTCTTCGTATCTCGCTGCTGCAGCCTCGTCAGAACCTGCTGCAGGCTGCAGGAAACGTTGGTCAGGCCAGTGGAGAGCTGCTGTCCCACATCGGAGAGACGGACACAGATCCACAGTTCCAGGTTTGATGAGCTTTCTCCATTTTTACAGCCTGACAGGAGAGGAACTCTCTCCAGCCAGACATCAGAGGATGATGTCTGGCTCACAGTTTGCCCTCCAACCTACCCTGAAGGGGTGGAGTTCCAGACTCCAGTCAGGTTCTGCTTCACCACGGTCCTCAGAGACCTGGCTGTGGTCACTAGGACCTGCTTCATGTTGGAACATGGAGCAGGTCCTCCTAAATGAGGAGCTGCATTTAGGAGGTGATGAAGGGAGGGGTGGGGATGCTGCACGAAGGGTGGGACCAATTAAAACACAATGAATGAGTCCTGAGATGTGAAGGCAGTCAGGCAGAGTGAGAAAGATCCAAAGACCTCAACCTCAGTCTTTAAACAAGGGAAACTCAGCAGGCTTTATCTGCTCCATGTTTAGCAGGTTTTCTGTTCCTGTAATGTCTGGTGTTTGATGAATGTATCTGACAGCTTCGGGGAGGAGGATCTTACAGGGATGCCAGATGGAGAACTCCCACTGAAGTTCAGGTAGAAGATGAAGGAATAAGGAATGACCAATCAAGTGGACGTCTCTGCTTAATTCTCTGCATCTTCATACCCAATCAGAACAGGTTTATCAGGCGGCTGAGTTCAGGCTGCTGTCCTTCTAGCTCTGCTTAGATGAACCTCTTTACTTCCAACCAATCAGATTCAGCCTCAGCATCCAGGCTGCAGGTTTTCACCTCTGCTGACAGAAGATGTTTCTCTGGATGTTTCTGGACCAGTGTTCTGTCAGATCAGTCAATACCCGTTTATCCTTTACTTATCTCATTAGTGTTGTACGAAAAATACACCTTAAACTACCTCAATGGGGGTGCATCCCTTTAGTTATGTACAAAAAAACTATTTGATTACTTTCTGGTGTTTTAGGAGCGTATGGCCATCTGACCTTAAATTGCTTTGTTTATGCATGACTAAAGAGAAACACGCCTGTTGTTGTGGCCGTTTATGCTAAATTTATGGAATTTGTTATTTCTACCAATTAAATTTTCTTCTTTTGATATGAAAAATATATTTCAGTTAATTTGGAACCAGAATTTATCATTTAGTTTTTATATTTGGAATTGTTTAGATGAAGTTGTTAATTGGTGGATTGTTTTGTAAAATGATTTTTTGACCAATATTTTTAGACCTTTAAACATTAAATTATCATTTTTCTTTTAGTAATTATTTTTTCTTTGCTTTTACAATAAATAATTCAAGCCTGCCTGTTACTCACAGCCTTTGTTGGAAATATTGGTATTTTGGGACAGAAGGCTGCGGCTCCCATTAAGGTAGTTTAAAGTCTATTTATGATGCAAAGCTAAAGGGATCAATGTAAATCTGACTTCCTGCGTATCGATTATGCTGATCTGACAGAACGGCGCCCGCCTCCTCTCAGTACTGGCGGTTCTGTTCTGGTATGATCTAAAGGTAAACCTTCTGATGAAGCGAATGAAGGAGGATGATGAGGAGTTGTTTGGTCTTCATCAGTGTAATATCTGGTGGCTCTGTTGATTGGCCTCCCAGTAATCGGTGCTGGTTGATCCCTGATTTCACATTGAATCATTAAATCAGGACTTGAAGGCTGATTCCTCACCATCAAAGCGCTGCTCTCCTCCACAGGACATGTTGATGCAGCTGGCCAAAGCCGTGGCGAACGCCGCAGCGGCGCTGGTGCTGAAAGCCAAGAACGTGGCCCAGAAGACGGAGGACTCGGCCCAGCAGAACCGCGTCATCGCAGCGGCCACGCAGTGCGCCCTGTCCACGTCCCAGCTGGTCGCCTGCACCAGGGTGAGTACTGGGACCCAGTCCGTTACTGGTATTCCGCTGAAAGTGGACCCGGTTAGGCAGAACATGACCCAGGAGCAGGGGCGGATCTAGAAAAATATCTATGGGGTGGCGAGAGGGGGGCGGGAATTTTTGAGGGGTGGCAACATATGGCATTTATTAACTCTGAATTTAATCACAGTTTGGTGAGAATAGATTGTACAGTCAGTGTTTCATGTGAAACAGTTCATATTAGAAATACATCGTACAATGTGATCTCACCTAATAGGAGATAGAAGAATGATAACACTACTTCTAGAGGGGCATTATTACAGGTATTAAGGTAAGACAGGTGCTGAGTCGCAGATGTGAGAGATTGACTGTCAGAGAGGCAGCTTTGCAGCATTTGCACAAGAAGAAACTATAGAAAGAAAAACATCAGAGATCTATGGACTGAGCTGGACTAAAGTGAGCAGAACTACACAGTAGAAATAAATGGGTCAAGGCACCCGAACAAGGTACTGGACATCTATGTAATGTTTACTCTGAACACACATTTACCCCATTTGTTCCTCAGTAACTTGACATACAGCAGTTACGGCAACATGAAAGGGACATTTCATGCATGTAGATCTGCTGTAGATAGAGCTGCTGTATCAACAAATAAAAAAAAGGCAGGTACTGGATGTTACATCAAAATCTCCACAAATCTGAAAAGAAGCAACATAAAAATACATTTTGCTTCCAGTCTGAAAAAGTATAAAACATTTAGTGAGTAGGTTCATACAGGTCATTTCTGGATAGTTTCATATTATATATACAAAAAAAGAAACAACAACACTGCTTCATATTAAGCAGGATTTACACCAGTATCACATTTTTAACTTTTAACACTTTTGGTTTTATTAAATTAAATATCAGATTTTCTCAGGTGCCAAAACAAAATGTAACAGCTCTGTAAAGGTTCACCAGAGAGCAGAACATAAAGTTAACATGACTATAACAGCTGAATGCAGCGATTTCCATGTTGCTCAGCAAAACGCTTCACTAATGTATTTAGATCCAATGCCTTTGTGCGTTTTGATTTGAGTTCAACCAAACTGATCGTCTCTTTTCTGTCATAGTTGACCGCAAATATGTCTTTATGAGCCTGAGACGTCAGGCCTAACTAACATCATAGATAGAAAAATAACATTCTGCAACCTGATTTTTATCATCTGTAAATCAACATTGCAGCTATGCTAGCAACATTGAACTTTCATTATGATTTCATTTCTCCATAGATAGTTAATCAGTGTTTACCTGTTTCATCCCGTGTCTCCTCTCCCCATCACCCCTGGCTCCCTCGCTTTGCCCCATTAGGTGTTCAAAACTAATCAGTCTCAGTCGCTCTGGCATCATCTCATGCTGCATTCACTGCAGTCCGACATTAGAAATTAGCGGTCATAATTCTCAGATTATCCATAATTTATAAGCCTTGCCACCCCTACTGCCAACTGGGGTGGCAGCAGGGGTGGCAAGCTGTCAGTTAGGGGGGCAGTTGCGCCACCCCAGTAGATCCGCCTATGGACAGGAGATAGCTGGAGGAATTTATTCTGAAGTTTCTGTTAAAGCCTTTACCTCATCAGCCACTAACTCCATGTTTTTATTGAGATAGAGGCCATCTGGGCCCCTACCACGATGATGCTTTGGTCGTTCCTGGTCCAATCCGAGGCCTTCCTTTCCTCCTCAGGGTGTCATCAGGTTCTGACCCAGTTCTTGGTTCTGTGTGGCAAAGCACAGACCTGTAAGGGCTTCCCCTCTGAGGGACGTCCAGACGGCCGTTTCTCTGGAAGTTTCCTTTGGAATAAAGGACTTCATCACGTTCCTTCCCTTAATCTTATAGAATAAACCAGATTATCACCTCAAACACCAGAAGTCACAGTAAAATCCATCAGTTTCTTCAGTGTTGGATGTTTGGTTGTCTCCTCTAGATTCCTTGGGTCGTTCTCTGCGCTCTGCAGAGTGTAGAGGAACGCCTTGAATGATCCAGAGTTACTAGAAAATGAAAGTCCACCTGAACAGCTTCTTCGCTAAACACCAACAATGATGATGTGACTAAGTGGTCTTTAAGGTCCACCTAAGCTTGTTTTCTTCTTCTTCTCTGTGGAGGTGGTGGCTCCAACCATCAGCTCCCCGGTCTGCCAGGAGCAGCTGATCGAGGCTGGGAAGCTGGTGGCCAAGTCGGTGGAAGGCTGCGTGGAGGCGTCACAGATGGCCACCAATGAGGAGGGTCTGCTGAAGCAGGTGGGCCAGGCGGCCACGGGCGTCACCCAGGCGCTCAACGAGCTGCTGCAGCACATCAAGCAGTACGCCAGCGGCGGCCAGCCCATCGGGCGCCACGGAGAGGCCACCGACTGCATTCTGGACGTCACTGAGAAGATCTTCAACGCCATGGGGAACGCAGGTGGGTGGGGGAGGACCAGCAGCACCATCTTCCAACACGCTGCTGCTCAGGGAGTCCTATGACAACTGCACTTCACGCTGCCCCCTGGTGGTCAGTGGAAACATGACAGGGTTACCAGGTTTGATGCCATCTACCTGCTGCAGGTGATGCGTACGGCCTTTGATTGGTTTATAGACATGTTCGCTGCCTCGTCATGTTAGTCCCTCTGAGGACGTCCTTATTTCCAAAAGGCTGCAGACGTTTCTCCACGGAACAGAGGTTAGAACGCCCAAGGTTTCCAGAATTCAAACCAAGCAACACCAGAGTGTTCCTTCTTCCCATTTCCTGCTGAAGTCAACTACATTAGATTTTAAATCTTTTGCAGTGTATACCTGCTCTGTTCTGAAGATACTCTTAGCAGTGACATTCAGGAAGGCCATATCGTTAACAATTAATTGAAGTTTTACCTTCAGAGCGTTTGCCTTGGATTGTTCAGGCTGATGTTAGTGAGTCCAGATGAGGAGCACTAACCTGCACAGGAAGCCAGGCGCTATAGGCTAATGTGTTGCAGAGGATCTGGAGAGGTTGCAAGGTGAACGGAACAATCCGCCCGGCCATTAAAGGAGAAGGTTATGTGCTGCTGGCAGGTCAGGGTTGGTCCTGAAAACAGAGGCAGAAAATATTTAAAAGTTTAAACATCAGTGATAAAACCTGGAAAAGGTGACTTTATCAGCCCGCACTGTTAACACACAAGAAATAAGTAAAACATTCTTAAATTCAATGTATTTCCCCTTAATTTAAGTAGGTAAATAAGCTAATTTTCCAATGGAATGAGGATTTTGATTCTTAAAACAAGATAATTAGATAATATGCACTGGAAATTAGACTTATTTTGAATGTAAATGTTTTTCCATTGGCAAAGTGTCTCACTTACCTCCTCAATCCAAGAAAAAAATGTATTTATTTTAAGATAAAATGACTTGTTTAGATTGATATTTTTGACACAGCAGAGCCAAAACGCTCCAAAGTATCACGGTAAAATCTTTGCATCGTTCTCTCCAGGGGAGATGGTGCGCCAGGCTCGTATCCTCGCCCAGGCCACGTCTGATCTGGTCAATGCCATCAAGATGGACGCAGAGGGAGAGTCTGACCTGGAGAATTCCCGCAAGCTTCTCTCCGCCGCCAAACTCCTGGCTGACGCCACCGCTAAGATGGTGGAGGCCGCTAAGGTGCGCCCCCCTCAGGACCGCTGCTTTAGCCTAGCCGTCCGTTAGCTCGCCGCCTCACGTTAGCTCGTCTTTTTCCAGGGTGCGGCCGCCAACCCCGACAGCGAGGAGCAACAGCAGAAACTGCGAGAAGCTGCAGAAGGTCTGCGCATGGCCACCAACGCCGCGGCGCAGAATGCCATAAAGAAGCGGCTCATCAACAACCTGGAGGTGAAGGAAATGACCGGGGGGGCATTTTACCAGCAAACGCTTCCAGGCGTCAAACCAACGCCTTCTTTCTTCTCTCCCAGAATGCAGCCAAGCAGGCGGCAGCGGCCGCCACTCAGACCATCGCTGCCGCCCAGCACGCCGCCTCCAGCAACAAGAACCAGGCTGCACAGCAGCAGCTGGTGCAGAGCTGCAAGGTGAGCTCTGATGTCATGTCAAGGTGACCTTTAAGGTTTCTAACACTTGGTTGAAGAATAGGTTTCAGAAACGCTCCTGGAATCTGGAGCTCAGACCTTCGCTGGTCAATGAGAACATTTCATTAACAGGAAGTTGATTCTTCTTTAAATACGGATGTTTGGTCTTGATTTAAACAGCTTAGTAACTCTAACACAATGGAACAAGATGATTAACGCCTGAAATGGTAAAATGAACAGAAAACCTTTCATCTTATTTCCCATTCATCTGATCGTTTGCAATTCAATTCTATTCACTTTATTTCTATAGCTCCAATTCACATCATGTCATCTCAGGTCAGCTTCCAGTTCACCAGATCATCCAGTCAGATTGATTCAAAGTTTTCTATCTAAGGAAAACCAGCTGATCAGATTCTGCAGAGTGGGAGAATAGAGATAGAATGAAGCAGAATGATGAAAAGGGGTCCCTATGTCCTCCAGCAGTCTAAGCCTATAGCAGCAGAACTATAGAGATAGATCAGGATAACCTGAGCCACTCTAACTAGAAGCTTTATCAAAAAGGAAAGTTTTAAGCCTAGCCTTAAAAGTAGACAGGGTGTCTGCCTCACGGACTAAAACTGGTAGTTGGTTCCACAGGAGAGGAGCCTGAGAACTAAAAGATCTGCCTCCCATTCTACTTTTAGAAATTCTAGGAACCACTAGTAAACCTGCAGATTGAGAGCGAAGTGCTCTGTTAGGAACATAAGGAACAATCAGATCTCTGATATCAGATGGAGCTTGGCCATTTAAGGCTTTATATGTGAGAAGGAGGATTTTAAATTCTATTCTGGATTTAACAGGAAGCCAATGAAGAGAAGCCAGGATAGGAGAGATATGATCTCTCTTTTTCATTTTCATCAGAACTCTGGCTGCAGCATTTTGGATCAGCTGAAGGCTTTTAACTACAGTTTGTGGACTTCCTGATAGTAAAGAATTACAATAGTCCAGCCTTGAAGTAACAAATGCATGGACTAGTTTCTCAGCATCACCCCTGGACAGGAGATTGCTCATTTCTGCAATATTCCTCAGATGAAAGAAGGAAATTTTAGAAACCTCTTTGATCTGGGATTTAAATGACAGGTCCTGATCAAAAACAACACCAAGATTTTTTACTTTATTATCTGAAATCAGTTTAATCCAAATGAAGTGACTGACTAATCAGCTTCTTTTCTGCAGATGCTTTCATTTAGCTGCTCTGGGGAAATGTTCTCTGCCGTTTAGAGCGGTTGCTGCTTTGCTGCTGTGACCGCGCTGCAGAACGCAGCCTCTGTCGTCTGAAGCTTCGTCTTTCAGTCTTTCTGCTGCAGTTTCTCAGACGATCCTCTGTGTGCGATCAGGTGGCGGCAGAGCAGATCCCTCAGCTGGTCCAAGGAGTCCGAGGCAGCCAGTCTCAGCCGGACAGCCCCAGCGCTCAGCTCGCCCTCATCGGCGCCAGCCAGAACTTCCTGCAGGTCATTATCAGCCTTTCATCTCTGTTTCAATTAACCCTTTCATGTGTTTTTCTTTTTTATTATTCTTTTCATATTTTAACAATAATTTACCAAGCAGCTAAAAATCCCAGGTTTGTGGACAGAATCAAGGATTCAGCATCAGTTGGTTTTTTTTCTGAAGAGTCTTTTTTAAATGAAGATGAAGAAAGAAGGAAGGAGCAGAAAGGTTGTTTCTGCTAAAAAATTTACATGTTCAGCGTTAATGAGAGAGGAAGACGAGGTAGAACTGCTGCAGAAGTCAGTTCAAAGAGACGGCCTGAGGGAAGGACCCGTTTCCATGGTGACTGCTGGTTGAAGATGGCGTCCTGGATGTGTGGATTATGCAGAACTGTTGACCTGCTCCATCAGACCCAAAGATCTCTGCAGACGGTTGGTTCCAGTCTGGACCCGTGAATCCAAACCCACTGCTATGGACTCAATGATGGTGGTGAAGATGACCTCCTGCCACAGGAGGCGCCGAGGACCACCTAAGCTCCAAAGACCTGCTGTCGATCCAGCTCCACCCGTCTGTTGGTCTCCATCCTGGATCACTCCTCCAGAGGAACAGTTGGTACCACTGTCAGTGAAGTGGGACGAGAACACTCCCCTGAGGAACGCCACTGCTGATGGTGCCCAGGAAGATCCTCCCCTGTGCCACTGCCGCTCAATTAGAGGTGGAGTATGGTGTTGTCCATCAACTGGATCCTGACTGCTTCCTCTGCTGGGGTTCCATCATGGATGCCAGACGTTCTTTAGATGCTTCAGTTCCGTTCAAAGTGTCCATGGATGTGAGGACCGCAGGTCTGTGGTCATATGACCTGTGAAGGTGACCAGGAACAGAAGTTCTCACACCTGCAGAGACTTGGTGAAGATGCAGTGCAGGTTCTCTGCCATGAGGAAACGTTCCTCTCTCACCTTTAGTTTGGGCCTGCTGCTCCATGAAGAGCTGCAGTTGATAGATGCCTCTCTAACCAGCAGCAGGAGCTGTTTAGGTCCAGGGTTCTGCTCAGAACGGCAGTGAGATCCTGTGGATGAATGGAGAGATGGTCCAGGGAGCAGTGTGGGGTTAAGGGTCTTGCTCAGGGACCCAGAGTGGCAGTCTGTGGGATTTGGGCTTGAACTCAGAACCTCTGGATTCCAAGCTCTATGTCCTAACCAGTAGGCCGCCGCTCCTAATGTTCTGCTCTCTGTCTGCGGTGTTCTGAGTGTTCTGATCACCTGATGATGATGATGAGATGGTGTCCCTGTCCTCCTCCAGCCGGGGGCTAAGATGGTCACAGCGTGCAAAGCCACAGTTCCCACCATCAACGACCAGGCGTCCGCCATGCAGCTCAGCCAGTGCGCCAAGAACCTGGCCAGCGCCCTGGCAGAGCTCCGCACCGCCTCGCAGAAGGTAAGACGGAGCCGCCTGTCCTCGGCCATGTGGGGGTGGGAGGGAGCTCCCTCAGGCAGCTGGTGTTGACGCTGTGTGTGACGATGCAGGCGCAGGACGCGTGTGGTCAGCTGGAGATCGACAACGCTCTGAACATGGTCAGAGGCCTGGAGAAGGACATCCAGGAGGCCAAGGCTTCTGCTCAAGCAGGCAAACTCAAGCCGCTGCCAGGAGAGACGGTGAGGCTGACGCACAACATGGCTGACACACAACATGGCTGACGCACATCATGGCTGACGCACATCATGGCTGACACACAACATGGCTGACGCACAACATGGCTGACACACATCATGGCTGACGCACATCATGGCTGACACACAACATGGCTGACACACAACACGGCTGACGCACAACACGGCTGACGCACAACACGGCTGACGCACAACACGGCTGACGCACAACACGGCTGACGCACAACACGGCTGACGCACAACACGGCTGACGCACAACATGGCTGACGCACAACACGGCTGACGCACAACATGGCTGACGCACAACATGGCTGACGCACAACATGGCTGACGCACAACATGGCTGACGCACAACATGGCTGACGCACAACATGGCTGACGCACAACATGGCTGACGCACATCATGGCTGACGCACAACACGGCTGACGCACAACACGGCTGACGCACAACACGGCTGACGCACAACACGGCTGACGCACAACATGGCTGACGCACAACACGGCTGACGCACAACATGGCTGACGCACAACATGGCTGACGCACAACATGGCTGACGCACAACATGGCTGACGCACAACATGGCTGACGCACATCATGGCTGACGCACAACATGGCTGACGCACATCATGGCTGACGCACAACACGGCTGACGCACAACACGGCTGACGCACAACACGGCTGACGCACAACACGGCTGACGCACAACACGGCTGACGCACAACACGGCTGACGCACAACACGGCTGACGCACAACATGGCTGACGCACAACACGGCTGACGCACAACATGGCTGACGCACAACATGGCTGACGCACATCATGGCTGACGCACATCATGGCTGACGCACAACACGGCTGACGCACAACATGGCTGACGCACATCATGGCTGACGCACAACACGGCTGACGCACAACACGGCTGACGCACAACACGGCTGACGCACAACACGGCTGACGCACAACATGGCTGACGCACAACATGGCTGACGCACATCATGGCTGACGCACATCATGGCTGACGCACATCATGGCTGACGCACATCATGGCTGACGCACAACACGGCTGACGCACAACACGGCTGACGCACAACACGGCTGACGCACAACACGGCTGACGCACAACACGGCTGACGCACAACACGGCTGACGCACAACATGGCTGACGCACAACATGGCTGACGCACATCATGGCTGACGCACAACACGGCTGACGCACAACACGGCTGACGCACAACACGGCTGACGCACAACACGGCTGACGCACATCACGGCTGACGCACAACACGGCTGACGCACAACACGGCTGACGCACAACACGGCTGACGCACAACACGGCTGACGCACAACACGGCTGACGCACAACACGGCTGACGCACAACACGGCTGACGCACAACACGGCTGACGCACAACACGGCTGACGCACAACACGGCTGACGCACAACACGGCTGACGCACAACACGGCTGACGCACAACACGGCTGACGCACAACACGGCTGACGCACATCATGGCTGACGCACATCATGGCTGACGCACAACACGGCTGACGCACAACACGGCTGACGCACAACACGGCTGACGCACAACACGGCTGACGCACAACACGGCTGACGCACAACACAGCAACCATGGACCTGCGGGCCCGCAGCTTTATAACTCATTCTTCTTCTTTTGTTCAGCTGGATAAATGTTCGCAAGAACTGGGCACCAGCACCAAGGCCGTCACCTCCGGGATCGCACAGCTGCTGAGCGAGGCCACCCAGGGAGATGAGAACTACATAGGTGGGTGGAATGAAAGCCAGGGGGCGCCCTAACCCACATCTTTATTTATTTGACTCTTTTTTTTCCTTTCTTAAAGACAGAAAAACCTGAAAGTCTTTTGACAGACAACAGTTCACTTTCTGACCACTGGGGGGCGTATATAGTGCAATAATAACTGTTTATACCAGAAAGGAAGCAGGACGCTCCTCCTCTCACCGACCTCTGCTCACCTCAGGTTTTAAACTTTGGCCAAAGTTCGCCTGTAATTCCAGCCTCTAGAGGGCGACAGAGCACAGATAGTCCAGAACGCGTTAAGCAGATAACATATCCGTCTGCTTGGTGCGGATTCTCTGTCAGACCATTTGGACCGGACCTTGCAGAGCCTCCAATCAGCAGGTGGAAATCCCTGCCCTGCTTTAGCGAACGCTGCTCTCCATTCTGCTGATCACTCAGTGACGTTGGTCAGGTTTTATCTCGGTGAGTGAAGCTGTGGATGAGAACATAGCTGAGCTTTAGGCTCATATAAAGCCCCATTTCCACTACTCTTTTGAAACCGTGCTGAGGTCAGTCCGAGCACGGTTACCAAGGTAACTGTTGAGCGTAAATGGCACGCACAACTGAACCAGGCCGTTCCAGACACAACCGAAGTTCTGGCTCGGTTCTCAATGAGCAGACCGCCTCGTCTCCTTACAGCCAGCCTCCATAATCATTCCTAAAATCCTAGCTTCCTACCGTACCGCACGACTTCCAGGGATGATTCTGCTTAGCAGTGCGATGAACCTCAACATCTGTCGTTGTTTCCTGCGTCTGAAAGGCCTGATTAGACTATCGTTTGTCGTATATACTTCCCAAAAGCCGAATCTGTCAAAGGAATTCACCAAAGGCTGCCTTCTTCCCCTGACTCTCCGCTAACTTCCTGAATGTTATGGGGGCTGCCATGGTGGTTTATTTTTTCTCTCTAGAGAGCAGTAGTACCGTAGATCGCCACTAGGAGTCGAGGAACCGTGCTAGCGTGGCGAGTAAATGGTCGTAAGGAACCAAGCTCGGCACGGATCGGTTTCAGATGATTGTGAAAATGGGGCTCATGACTGCAGGTCTAGTGAACCGACCTTCCCACTATGAACGAGCATCCAGACTGATTCATCTGTTCACTCCGACTGCGAATAATTGCCCCCCCCCAAAAAAAAAAAAAAAACACAGCTGAAAGGGTGCGTCTCAAATGTGAAACAGAATATGAACACACATTGTGGATTAATCAATCTACCTTCAAGTCACTAAGACTTCTATAATGCGTTTTTACTGGAAAATTCCCGCTATCACAGATTAGCAGTCCGACTCTGCCCCAGAACAATGGCGTATAGTTTGGTCATCACCTTTAGCTGTATGTTACCTGCCAACACGTATCAGCCTCTGTAGGATAAAGAATAAAACAGTTTAATTATCATTATTTGACCTTATCAGCCAGTGCAGAGTCTAGGCTGACCTCTGTTCCAGACACAGACGGCAGGAATGTTTCATCTCCCTCTGACCTCCCAGCGTTTCCCCTGACCCTCCATGTTAGCATAAGACCAAAGAAGCTACGTTCCACCATAATTAACCAGCCGAATAAGGCTGGTTAATTACACGCCCCCTCCTCATTTGCAGACAGAAATAAATAGCGGCAAAGAAATAACTAGGGTAAAAAAATACAAAGGAAGAATAAAACGGACAAAAATATTATAACATGCACATAAATAAATACTTAAAAATATAAGTAATTAAAAAATAAAGTTGAAGATTATAAAGGACAAAAAAATAAATAAGGTAAATATTAAAAAGGCAAATAAATAAAGAAGCTAATTGAAAGAGTTATATACTCACTGTCTCACTGTATAATTTAATTTCTAATTACAGTTATTTGATGATTGTATTTTTGGTGGCAATTAATCGTATGCTTATTTATTTATTGAGCATTTATTTATTTCTGTATTTATTTTTAAATATGGCAGAGTTGGTCCTCCATAGAAGTGGGAGTGAATCCAGTAATGAAATCTGAGCGGCTGCTACCGGCCCTTTAAGGACCTGATGCTATAAAACATTCTGCAGAGGGACTGACCGTTATTTCCACCAGATAGTTCTGCTCTTAAACTATTTCTGTCTCCTGAAGGTGTCCAAAGCGGAAATCTTGTTTTAACTCTTTCCGTCCCACAGAGTCACTTCCTGTTTATCTCACTGAAGCCCCCCCTCCTTTTCCATCCAGGCATGTCGGCCAGAGATATAGCCCAGACCCTGAAGACCCTGGCCTCAGCGGCCAGAGGAGTCGCCGCCTCCACAGAGGACCCTGCAACACGCAGCGCTGTGCTGGACTGCGCTAGTGATGTCATGGACAAATCGGCCAATCTGATGGAAGAAACCAAGAGGGCGATTGCTAACCCGGGAGACCCGGAGAGTCAGCAGAGGCTGGCGCAGGTCAGACACTAAGCGTGGATACAAACTGTGATGGTGACTGATCCTTGTCTGAAAATGATCAAAGGTCTTCTGTTACCGTGGAAACCGTTCTGATCACCTGGTGACACTGTTAACACCAGCTGGGGGATGACCCCTGGACCAGTCCATCATCATCATGTGATTATCCGTCTGCAGGTGGCCAAGGCCGTGTCCCAGGCTCTGAACAGATGTGTGAACTCCCTACCCGGCCAGAGGGACGTGGACAACGCCATCCGCTCCTTGGGCGAAGCCAGCAGATCCCTACTGGCCAATTCTGTTAGTGCATCACTCACTGATTTACTCACTAATTTACTCACAGAGCGATTCACCGCTCCTCTGACTGACTGAGTGGTTTATTGACTGAATCACTCACTGATCCACCGACTCAACAATTTACCAAGTGATTCATTGACTGATTCACTGACTAATTAACTGATTAAATGATTCACTCACTGATTTGCTGACTAATTCACTTATGTATCCATTGATTCACTGAGTGATTTGCTGACTCGTTCACTGATTCACTAATTAATTGAGTGATTCACTGAATGACTGACTTACTGATCAACTGATTCACTGAGTGATTTGCTGACTGATTCACTGACTAATTAACTGACTGATTAAATGATTCACTCACTGATTTGCTGACTGATTCACTCACTGATCCATTGATTGACTGAGTGTTTTTCTGATTGATTCACTCACTACTTCAGGGACCCACTAATTCCCAAAATGATTCACTGACTTGTTCACTGATTCACTAATTAATTGAGTGATTCACTGAATGACTGACTTACTGATCAACAGATTCACTGACTGATTCAATAGCTGATTTATTTATAGGATCACTCACTCACTTTCTGGTTCACTGATTGACTGAATAAGCCTCACTGCAAAGATATTTCTTACTCAGATCAATTCCACCATGTTCAGCCAGAGGTTGAACATTCATGCAGATTTTATAATCTGTCAGTATCTGACTCCATTATAGTCCTGTTTGATCTAATGTGATGAAAGGGTAACGCATCACTTCCTGTAATGTCTATTCTCCTCCCATCTCTCCAGTTCCCGTCCAGCGGACAAAGTTTCCAGGAAATCCAGTCTCAGCTGAACGAGGTGGCGGCTGGCCTGAACCAGTCGGCCAACGAGGTGGTGCAGGCATCCAGAGGGACCACCCAGGACCTGGCCAGGGCCACCAGCAAGTTTGGACAAGACTTCAGCAACTTCCTGGAGGCCGGCGTTGATATGGCAGGAACCTCTCAGGTGAGGAGGAGTCCAAGTTTGTTGGGATTTCCAAGCAGCAGGAGCTCCTGTTCAGCTCCTGGGAGATTTCATCAAACTTTGTTGAGGATTAACAGTTTTACTCGTCCCTTTAGTCCAAAGAGGACCAGACCCAGGTGGTGTCCAACCTGAAGACCATTTCCATGTCATCAAGCAAACTGCTGCTGGCAGCCAAGGCCCTGTCCACTGACCCCAGCTCCCCCAACCTGAAGAACCAGCTGGCAGCAGCAGCTCGGTGAGGACCTCCTTCCTCCCTCTAAGGCCGGGACTTCTCCAGAACACGTCTGTTCTTAACCTGTGAGTCTTTGTGCTTCCAGGGCGGTCACAGACAGCATCAACCAGCTCATCACCATGTGCACCCAGCAGGCCCCGGGTCAGAAGGAGTGTGACAATGCTCTCAGGGAGCTGGAGGTAACCTCGCCATGTTAATCACCTGATCATCCAGTGTGGACACCTGTCCCCTGATCTGCCTGCTTCTGAATGTCGGCCATTTTATCTGAACGTCCGCCCTAACCCCTACATGGGGCATTATATAGTGGTTGCGCAATTTTAGATGAAAGTCTAGTGAAGCGGTCGGCAACCCAAACTGTTCAAAGAGCCACACTGGACCAAAAAAACAAATAACTAATCTGTCTGGAGCTGCAAAACTCTAAAAGTCTGCATGTAAGTGTTTTAGCCCGCTTTAAACAAGGACTAGCTGGGCTTAAACATATAATAAGAATGTTTCATTAAATGTTTATCTCTGAGTAAATGTCCCATAGTAGCATGAGGTGATGGAGGAGCAGCATTGATGAAATGATAGAAACAGGATAAAGGAATCTTTCTATGGTGGACGTGTTTCTGTTGGGAGGAGCTGATGGAGGAACCAAGCAGGAAGTGACATCATCAGAGCAGAGCTCTCTAACCCTGAAATCCCACATTGTTCCTTGGTGGGATTTTAAAAAATGTAAGAAAGTTCCCATCCCTGCATCAGAGCGCTACCTGTTCGATCTATGAACGGTTTTCTATGCTTGCAACCAAACTAGCAGCAGCAGTGGAGTTTGGAGATCCAATCTATTTCTTAAATCCTCTAATTTATCCATTATTTCTGCGGCGCTAAAGAGCCACATGTGGCTCCGGAGCTGCAGGTTGCCGACCCCTCGTCTAGTGGATGAAAAGGTAGTACACTCAAAATTTCCCACAATGCACCTTGGAAAGTAGTGATCATCCATGGTCACTAGATGAGCAGATATATCCCAGAATGCTTTGCAAGAGCTGTCCTTGCAAAGCATCATGGGATTTGTTTTAGGGGCGAGAGAATAAAGATAGCGAAGGCACAGTGGGGGAGGTGGCGGAGTCATGTGACCAGCATGGAGCGAGATGTAATGATCATCTGTCCGAACGGTCAGTTAACCGAGTGAGGTAAGGGTCAAAGGGCAGGGCGGACGTTGGGACACAGTCGCTGTCCGTTTGGTTGATGAATCGATCCTCTGGCTCAGAAACATCTGATTCACCCCATCGGGTTACTGATACATGTTCAACCCTCCGTACGGTGTAATAGCTCCCCCAAGTGGCCAAGTAGGATGATGGGTCAGACTTTCATGAAATGTTTCTAAGACTTCTGGAAAATGTCTGTTAGTTCTTTGAGTTTATTGTTCAGAATAAATACAGTTCTTCTCCTCTACCAGTAGGTGTCCAGTTCAGCAGCTGCTACTCTGGTTTAGTCAGGCTGTCAGCTCAGTCTGCTGCTGGCAGCTAACAGACGCAGCAGCATTAGCTTTAGCGTTAGCTTCCCCTCCATGCCTCAGGAGGGTCCTGGTTCTGTAACGCTCTGGTCTCTGTGTGCAGTCAGTCAAAGGGATGCTGGCCAATCCAACCGAGGCGGTTAATGAGCAGTCCTTCTTCGAGTGCATCGACAGCGTCATGGAGAACTCCAAGGTAAAACGTCTCCTTTCTTCTCATCGCTTTAAATCAAACCCTGAAGGTCAAACGATCTGAAGGTGAAAACACGGAAGCGGCTCATCTAACGATTCCGCCTCTTCTGGGCAGGTTCTGGGCGAGTCCATGGCAGGTATTTCTCACAATGCCAAGAACTCCAACCTTCCAGAGTTCGGGGATTCTGTCAGCGCCGGATCCAAAGCGCTGTGCGGTCTGACTGAAGCTGCTGCTCAGGTAAGGTCCGCCCTGTCCTCACCGTCCGGGTTCTAGCTGGGATTCATCACCAAACGTGTTCTGACCCATGTAGGCGGCGTACCTGGTGGGAGTTTCGGACCCTACCAGCGTAGCGGGTCAGAAAGGTCTGGTGGATCCCACTCAGTTTGCCCGGGCTAACCAGGCTATCCAGATGGCCTGTCAGAACCTGGTGGATCCGGCCTGCACTCAGTCTCAGGTAAGCAGCTCAACACCAGATGTTTTGGTGGGCCCGGGTCCATTTGGGTCACCATGGTGACCTGCGTGCTCGTTCTCTGCCCAGGTGCTGTCTGCAGCGACCATCGTAGCCAAACACACCTCGGCGCTTTGCAACGCCTGCCGCCTGGCCTCCTCCAAGACCGCCAACCCCGTCGCCAAGAGGCAGTTTGTCCAGTCAGCCAAGGAGGTGGCCAACACCACCGCCAACCTGGTCAAGTCCATCAAGGTTCGTAAGGAAATCCTTATAAGGTCACCAGGAAGAGGAAATCCTCTGATAGATGACGATGTGCTCAGCTGGAAAGGATTCCAGTTCACTTTGGGAGTAGCCCTAACCGGACGGACGCCATGTTGGTCCACGAAGTTCTGATGGTGTCTGTTTTCCAGGCCTTAGATGGAGCCTTTAACCAGGAGAACCGGGAGAAGTGCAGGGCTGCTACTGGACCTCTGATAGAAGCTGTGGACAACCTGACCGCCTTCGCCTCAAACCCAGAGTTTGCCAGCATCCCGGCCCAGATCAGCCCCGAGGTGGGTCGCAGACCTTGTCACTCATTTCCACTGGTACCAAAGGTTCTGTTCAATGACCCAGCAGAACCGGCTCAAACGGCCCGCAGTCCTCTAACCATGACCCCATCCTCCCTCCTCAGGGCCACGCAGCCATGGAGCCCATTTTAACCGCAGCCCAGATGATGCTGGAGAGCTCCACAGGCCTGATCCAGACCGCCCGCTCCCTGGCAGTCAACCCTAAAGACCCCCCCAAGTGGTCTGTGTTGGCGGGCCACTCCAGAACCGTGTCCGACTCCATTAAGAAGCTGATCACCAACATGAGGTACGCTGATGTTCCTGACCGGGTTCTGAATGTTACAGTCAGTGGTCCTGTCCACAGGCCCTGGTGCCCCCTACCCTGAGGTCCAGACGGATCCTCTGAGGTCCAGACGGATCCTCTGAGGTCCCTGTGGATCCTCTGAGGTCCATTCGGATCCTCTGAGGTCCAGGTGGATCCTCTGAGGTCCAGGTGGATCCTCTGATGGTCCAGGTGGATCATCTGATGGTCCAGGGGGATCCTCTGATGGTCCAGGTGGATCATCTGATGGTCCAGGTGGATCCTCTGATGGTCCAGGTGGATCCTCTGAGGTCCAGGTGGATCCTCTGAGGTCCAGGTGGATCCTCTGAGGTCCAGGTGGATCCTCTGAGGTCCAGATGGATCATCTGAGGTCCAGATGGATCCTCTGAGGTCCAGGTGGATCCTCTGAGGTCCAGGTGGATCCTCTGAGGTCCAGGTGGATCCTCTGAGGTCCAGGTGGATGCTCTGAGGTCCAGGTGGATCCTCTGATGGTCCAGGAGGGATCCTCTGTGGGACCTGATCAGCGGTTCTGCTCTCTGCCTTGTAGCCTGATGCTCCTCTGTTTGTCTTCTCTCTGATGGTTTTGATGATGCCTGGTTTGGTCCAATGTTGCCTGGGTCATTTTCTCCAGACAGTCCTGCCAAGCTCTCTGAAAGCTGACCTTTGACCTGCACACTGAGGAGCAGGGTAGAAGCTAATAGAGTAGCCCCGCCTTTGCAGAGGAGCGGTGTAGTAAAGGTTCTCCTGCTTTGGACCGCCGGCTCTGCTAGCATGGGCTGGCTCAGGTTGTCTTTGGCAGTCGCTCGGTTCCGGTGGTGCCTGGAATTTTCTGTGGAACCAAACCAAACATCAATTACAGGTTCAGAAGGAGGAACAAACAGGATCCACGTCACAGTATCTGATGCTAACTGCTAACTGCTAACCTTCCATGTGTGCAGAGAAAAGGCTCCTGGTCAGAGAGAATGTGACGATGCCATAGAGGTTCTGAACGGCTGCATCCGTGAAGTGGACCAGGCGTCTCTGGCTGCCATCAGCCAGCAGCTAACCCCCCGGGATGACATCTCCATGGAGGTAAAGATTCATTATCCTCTTAGTAGATCCCCTTCAAGGCACCAAGGATCGGGTCCTTACCCAAAAACAACCCCTTTAGAAACAGACGAACACTTTCCTCTAAATGCTGAATCTTTCCTCCAAATAATCCTTCTCTAGCTTTGCTAACGCTCTGAACCGTGTTTTGCAGACCCTCCATGAGCAGATGGCCGTCTCTGTCCATGAGATCAGTAACCTGATTGACCCTGTTGCCGTGGCAGCTCGATCCGAGGCCTCCCAGCTTGGACACAAGGTAGACCGCCTGGTTCAGACCGTCAGCTGGGGCTTCTCCTTCTGATGGGTTTCCTCAGATTCATGATGGGCAGCAGCAGGTTGCTTTAAAGCATGGGTTCATGATGTGGCTCCTGAACCCAGAAGCTGATTGGTTCTCCTTCTAAAGGCTGGCCTCCCCCTCCCCGTCCTCCATCCCTGATCAGGTGCTCTGTTTGCTGACAGGTCTCTCAGATGGCCACCTACTTTGAGCCCCTGATCATGGCTGCCATCGGCACAGCCTCCAAGATCCTGAGCAGCCAGCAGCAGATGGCCGTCCTGGACCAGACCAAGACTCTGGCAGAGTCGGCTCTGCAGATGCTCTACACGGCAAAGGAGGCTGGAGGAAACCCCAAGGTACCAAATGCAGCTGTCTGGTGTCTCCCTGCTACCTTCTCACCATCCTTATCTGCATTCTCACTTCTTCATTAAAAAAGTTGGTTGTTTTACGCTTAATTGTTTAAGATTAATATAAAATCAGACAATCCGAGTAAGATATGAGTGTAAGATATCGTCTTTCAGGCTTCTGAAGCGATTCTGATCTATTTTCTGAGAGGGGCTGAAGAATCGGCGAATAAGACCCAAGTCTCTGATCGAACAGACTTTTTCCTATTTTATATTTTTTACTTTATTGGCCAAAATCTAGACTATTTTTTTTTTTATGTTTTTGCCGAAGTAATTATATTATATTTAAGTCTCATATTGATAATTGTTGGAGTCGTATTCGTGGCTCATTTTATTTCTGGGTTTCTTGCTTGTAGCCGTAATGAAGCAGAATTCCCTTCCTATCAGGACGGCTTTGGTTAAAACTCCTCTTTGACCTGAAATGCTGTAAATGCTCCCGTCCCGCCGCCTGCGGTTCTCTTTGCTCTCTAGGCGGCTCACATGCAGGGCGCTCTGGAGGATTCGGTCCAGATGATGAAGGAAGCTGTAGACGACCTGGGCGCCACGCTGGCCGAAGCCGCCGGCGCTGCTGGTGCCGTGGGCGGCATGGTCGATTCCATCAACGACGCCATCAATAAGATGGAAGACGGGCCGGCAGACGAGCCGGAGGGCACCTTCGTGGATTATCAGACCACCATGGTGAAGACGGCCAAGGCCATCGCCGTTACAGTTCAGGAGATGGTGAGACGCCGGAGAAAGAATCCCGCCTTCATCAGATGGCGGCGGACGCTAATCAGGCTTGTTGCTCTCTAGGTGACCAAGTCCAACACCAACCCAGATGACCTCGGGGGGCTGGCCAACCAGCTGACCAATAACTTTGGGAATCTGGCAGATGAGGCCAAATATGCGGCCCTCACTGCAGAGAACGACGAGGTGAAGGAGAGCTGCTGCTCGCTGGCTTCCTGTTGGTTCCTTTCATTTCAAAGCGTTAATCTTCTTCTGTTGGTTCCTGGTCCAGATCGGTTCTCACATCAAGAAGCAGGTGGGCGAGCTGGGCTTCACCTGCACCGGGCTGGTGACCAAGGCCGGCGCCCTGCAGTGCAGCCCCAGCGACTCCTTCATCAAGAAAGAGCTGATTGAAAGCGCCCGCAAAGTTTCAGAGAAGGTCAGGGGGCGTCGTCCCGTCCTCGCCGTTCTTCCTGATCCCCCCCACCCCTCCATGTTCACCCTCACATCGATCTGTTGCAGGTGTCTCATGTGCTGGCGTCCCTTCAAGCTGGTAACCGTGGCACCCAGGCGTGCATAACGGCTGCCAGCGCCGTCTCTGGGATCATCGCCGACCTGGACACCACCATCATGTTTGCTACGGCGGGTACTCTGAACCGAGAGAACGCCGAGACGTTTGCTGACCACAGGTACCAGCCGCCATGTTGACCTTCATCAATGCTTCGGGTTTCATGTCCTGTGATGCTGATGAGGTTAACGCCATGATAACCAGAATTCTGATCCTACTAGAACCTCCCACTGGCCGTCAGTTTGACCACTGATATTTTCCCCTATAGAAATGCACGAGTAGTGATGATGAGTGATGATGTCATCGACTTCTAGTGTGCGATATAAACACATAGAGGATATAAAGACCTTAGATCAGGTCTAATATATATATATATATCAATTAAAGACTGTATTATATGTTATTATTATTATTATTAGATTATTAGAAGACTGTTTTACTACACAGATTCAAAATTTGAAATTAGAATTTTATTGCATTTTTTATTTTATTCCTCCCAAACATTTCCCACACCTCCTTTTTATCCACCGTTTATGAAACATAAACTGAGCGTTTTCTATCTGCAGCGCTGAAGCTCCTGCTGCTGTTTTCTTTGCCTCATCAAAGCTGCTCTGCTGCGGGGGAGGGGCTGGAAACTCAGGGTTACCGCGGGTCATTAAAAGTCATTAAGTTATTTTTTAAATTAAAGCCTTAATTGGCATTACAATTCATTATATGTGTTTATTGTGGCATTTAAAATTCTTTATTAAAAATATGTTTATAAAAACAAATTCGTCAGGCATTATATCACAATATATTTGCGTGGAACTGCTTCCAGTTGATGGCAAAGATGTATGTTCAGAAAATAACCTTGGAAAAAAGCAAATTTGAACTAAAGTGGCTGGAAAAAGAGAAATTGCTGATGCCTGTCGACGGGTACCTGTTTGTGGCATTAAAATTATTTCTAAGAGCATTAAAAGAGCATTGAATTAGAATTACTCATTCCTGTATAAACCCTGAAACTCTTTTAGCAGTTGAAGGATAAAATCTGTGCGTGAAACTGTGCCGTTCAAACAGCTCCTGATCAAACCATCAGGTTTCCAGCTGCTATGTCCAGCAGATGGTAAAATAAAACCACTTTCTAATAACTGATCCACCCAGACCTGTGTGATCACAGCAGACCAGAGGCTGTGGTTTGGCTTTGGGCCGCCGAGTCGACCAGCTGAGGTGGGGGCAGTGATATCCAAACCGTGACCAAAAGTTTCACTATTGTCTGATGGCTCACTGATACCACTGCGTTCTCCCAGGGATGGTTGATCGTCCTCGGACTCGCTGTCCGCTTCCTCCCCGCTCCGCCTGAATCGCTATCATCAATATTTGAAAGCATTTCTAAAGTCTGGTTAGATTTCTTCTGGAAGCCATTTTTTCCGTTTTCGCCAAAGAGTTCTAGGTAGAATGTTGGTTGCTAGGCAACGGTACGTCAATCAACTGCAAGAAGAATTTACAATGCAACTAATAGAGCCCTCTAAATGATGGCTGTGTGTGATCAAGGTAAAATTAACCATATTTAATTTTTACAGTTTTATTTTATTAAGAAAACTAGGTGAAAATAAAGGAAATCTAAAAACAGGAAAAATCAGTTAAGATGAGCAACATATGATTAATGTAAATAAAGTTCTTTCCCTTTAAAATTTCATTACTGTCAAAATGGCGGACATGGGAGTTCTACTGTTGATTAGCTAAAGGGTTTGATAGAGTTAAGGAAAACAAGCGATAGCTTCTCGTAAAGATGATGATGGTCCTGTCAGCATGAAGGACGATCAAGGATGAGAAGGTTTGGTTTGTTCCTGGATCTAAGAATCAGTAACTAACTACTGGGAGGAGAACCCTACTGGGAGCAGAACCCTACTGGGAGCAGAACTCCCACAGGAGAGCTTCCCTCCTTGCTGTTTTTTATCCCAGACTGTTTAAGAGCATCAGGACTTTAACTTGTGATGTTCAGCTAAGTGGTGACCTGATGGAGAGCTGATGCTGATCTGGTAGCAAACAGAAACAGGAAGGTCTCCATGTCTGATTCTTTAGCTCCAGGTTCTGCAGCCGTGCGGTTTTGATCCCATGTGAACGACGTCACAGGATGGCAGAAGCTGCTGGTCCCGCCTCTCAAAGTCCGACCTGCTCTTGTTTTTCAGAGAGTGCATCCTGAAGACGGCCAAGGCGCTGGTGGAGGACACCAAGCTGCTGGTCTCTGGCGCTGGAGCCAGTCAGGAGAAACTGGCTCAGGCTGCCCAGTCATCAGTTTCCACCATAACCAAACTGGCTGATGTGGTCAAACTGGGAGCAGCCAGTCTAGGTTCAGAAGACCCTGAGACTCAGGTAAGCTTCTACTCTGCATGTTTACCATGTTGCCTTCACCTGATCCGACCTGAGCAGGAACCAAACTCCTCCTCTGAGGAAATCCCTCAGCACCATGCAGGTGCTGTAATGAAGCAGACAGACTGGTTCTGACAGCCTCTGGGTCGGACCTCAGTCATCGTCTGCAGTGTGGATCAGCATCACTCTAATGATGGAAGTTCAGTCCAACATAAGCTAGATATTAGACAGTGGTTTTCTGGACCGGGTTCTCATGCCTCTGCCCTCTGTAGGTGGTCTTGATCAATGCAGTGAAGGACGTGGCCAAAGCTCTGGGTAACCTGATTAGCGCCACCAAGGCGGCGGCCGGTAAACCTCACGACGACCCCAGCATGCTGCAGCTGAAGAGCTCTGCTAAGGTAACACACCTGAACATCTGGACCATCTTAAGCAAACACCGACACGTTCACCATTAACAGAACCGCAGATGTTTATAAAGGAGAAAGGTGTTGGTCAGACACAGATAAACCATCAGGTAGACTCTCATCAGGAAGACATTCTGTTCCTGAAACCTTCTCATCTCTTCTAGGTGAACTAGTTCTATTCTGGTCCATCAGCTGCTAAAGGCCCAGACTTCCAATGTTTAACGGGGAGCTTCAGACCTGGCTGATCTGCTTTCCTTCTGTAGGTGATGGTGACCAACGTGACGTCCCTGCTGAAGACGGTGAAGGCGGTGGAGGACGAGGCCACCAAGGGAACCAGAGCTCTAGAAGCGACGATCGAACACATCAAGCAGGAGCTGACTGTGAGTCCTCTGACCGCCATGCCCCCTCAGGCAGGATAGACGTCCCTCTGATCCTGGGTTACGCTGTGGTCTCAGGTGTTCTGCAGCTCCGATCCGCCACCGAAGACCACCACGCCGGAGGAGTTCATCCGTATGACAAAGGGGATCACCGTGGCAACAGCTAAGGCCGTGGCTGCTGGGAACTCCTGTCGCCAGGAGGACATCATCGCCACCGCTAACCTCAGCAGAAGAGCTATTGCTGACATGTTGCACTCCTGCAAGGTACCCTGGATATTAATGTTTTCACATCCTACAAAATATCCACCAGGAACAACACCCTGCTGAGATGCCAGCAGGGGTCAAAGGTCATCTGTAGTGTTTAGACAGTGCACCTCCTCCCCCCAGCATCTTTGCCTGTAGCTGTTTTGTTCTAAAAACATGGCCCCCTGCTGGAGTCAGCTGTAACTGATGCGTGTTTGTCTCTCTCACCTCTCAGGAAGCTGCCTACCACCCAGAGGTCAGCAAGGACGTCCAGATGCGCGCTCTACGCTATGGCAACGAGTGTGCCTCTGGCTATCTGGGACTGCTGGAACACGTCCTGCTGGTGAGTCCGCCTCTCTCACTACTCTGCTTCTGGGGGGTGTTTGGGCCGTCTATCACCTGGCACAAGAGGCCTACTATCAGCTCGTCGGACTATGGCCTGGCGGAATGGGGCCGACTATGGCCTGGCGGAATGGGGCCGACTATGGCCTGGCGGAATATGGCCGACTATGGCCTGGCGGAATATGGCCGACTATCGCCTGGCGGAATATGGCCGACTATCGCCTGGCGGAATATGGCCGACTATCGCCTGGAGGAATATGGCCGACTATCGCCTGGAGGAATATGGCCGACTATCGCCTGGAGGAATATGGCCGACTATCGCCTGGAGGAATATGGCCGACTATCGCCTGGAAGAATATGGCCGACTATCGCCTGGAGGAATATGGCCGACTATCGCCTGGAGGAATATGGCCGACTATCGCCTGGAGGAATATGGCCGACTATCGCCTGGAGGAATATGGCCGACTATGGCCTGGCGGAATGGGGCCGACTATGGCCTGGCGGAATGGGGCCGACTATGGCCTGGCGGAATATGGCCGACTATCGCCTGGCGGAATATGGCCGACTATCGCCTGGCGGAATATGGCCGACTATCGCCTGGAGGAATATGGCCGACTATCGCCTGGAGGAATATGGCCGACTATCGCCTGGAGGAATATGGCCGACTATCGCCTGGAGGAATATGGCCGACTATCGCCTGGAGGAATATGGCCGACTATCGCCTGGAGGAATATGGCCGACTATCGCCTGGAGGAATATGGCCGACTATCGCCTGGAGGAATATGGCCGACTATCGCCTGGAGGAATATGGCCGACTATCGCCTGGCGGAATATGGCCGACTATCGCCTGGCGGAATATGGCCGACTATCGCCTGGAGGAATATGGCCGACTATCGCCTGGAGGAATATGGCCGACTATCGCCTGGAGGAATATGGCCGACTATCGCCTGGAGGAATATGGCCGACTATGGCCTGGCGGAATGGGGCCGACTATGGCCTGGCGGAATGGGGCCGACTATGGCCTGGCGGAATATGGCCGACTATCGCCTGGCGGAATATGGCCGACTATCGCCTGGCGGAATATGGCCGACTATCGCCTGGAGGAATATGGCCGACTATCGCCTGGAGGAATATGGCCGACTATCGCCTGGAGGAATATGGCCGACTATCGCCTGGAGGAATATGGCCGACTATCGCCTGGAGGAATATGGCCGACTATCGCCTGGAGGAATATGGCCGACTATCGCCTGGAGGAATATGGCCGACTATCGCCTGGAGGAATATGGCCGACTATCGCCTGGAGGAATATGGCCGACTATCGCCTGGCGGAATATGGCCGACTATCGCCTGGCGGAATATGGCCGACTATCGCCTGGAGGAATATGGCCGACTATCGCCTGGAGGAATGGGCCCGACTGCGCTTCTAACAAAACCTCTCAAAACATTGCAAATGAATATCTGAATTCTTTCAAGTCACGTATCTTTTTTATTCAGATTCAATTAATTAAATTGAAACAGCTGAAATAATTCTCAAAATCTGAAAAAAATGCTTACAAACTCAAATACATCAGAGTTAGCTTGAAAATGAAATAAGCCTATATAAAATCTAATTTTACTTTAATTTTGATCACAATATTCATTTAGAGCAGGCATCCCCAAACTCGGTCCTCGAGGGCTGCTGTCCTGCAGGTTTTAGAGGTTTCCCTGCTTTAGCACAGCTGATTATCCTGATTATCATGATTGCAGTAGAGCTGAAGCCTGTTAATCAGCTTTCAATTAAAATCAGCTGTGCTAGAGCAAGGAAACCTCTAAAACCTGCAGGACAGCGGCCCTCGAGGACCGAGTTTGGGGATGCCTGCTTTAGAGTATTTATTTGATAGTATTCTATTGCTTCTATTGGCTAATTTAAAGTGAGCTAGGCTACATGCTTTGAAACAACTTTCTGCAGGCAACTGTTAGGACAGCTCAGTCGCAGCACTAGGGGGATATTTCATAAATCGGATATTAAAAAATATACTTTAGACTAGTCCAAATTAATTGAAATATCTTGGTTATAATTCTGGATGTGTGACACTTTAAATGACAAATAAGATGATGTCATTTGAGATATCTCAAAATGCATGTTGACTCTCCAAGATGTGATTAAAATATGTTAAATTGTTAATTTTCCCTAGAAATTATATAGAAATATAAAACATGATTAAGGGCAGTCAATATTTAGTAAATAATGTTTGTGTATTCTATTAAAATTTCTGTATCTCTATAATGGCTATTCTCCATTCAGAGGGCCTCATGCCTGTCTTTAAGAAGGAGGGGGGGGGGGGGGGGGGGGGGGGTTTAAGATTTCCTTAAGAAGGTGGAAGCCATGGAAACATCCATCTGTAAATCTGTTGGATTATTCTGAGTTTAAGGACCTGGTTTTCTGACTGAAACTGATGATTAGAATTGGAAAAAAAAAAAAGTTTCAACTTATTTTTGTTTCTACTGAAAACATTCTGAAACAACTCGTCTTTAGACAGTGGGGCCCCTCAGGGTTCGGCTCTGCTGGCTTCCTTCCACAGCAGGCGTCTGATTCCACCTTTTCTTTCTCTTTTTGTTCCTTTAAACGTGTCTCTGTGACGCTGCTGCCAGCCGGTGAGTACGCCGCCGCACTGAGGTGCTCATGTGTGACGGGCTGCTCAGTTTGACCACTCCCAGCTCAGATTATTTAATCCATCAGTGATCCTAATGGGACGTGTGTGAGCTGTGATCCTGGACGTGATTGGTTCCTGTTGATCTAATGATGAAATCACAACCAGCCCCTTCATTCTGAGCGATTGTGCATGTCGCTGGGTGAGGTGGTTTAATATGACAGTTTCCTCTCATTAGAATAAAAACTCCATAAACATCATACCACCCTTCATAACGGAAGAATCATGTTTAAACATCAGATTGTTTCTGAGATGATTTGCTCCCTGCATGCGTTCCCGCTGCGTAACATCACTCTTCTTCTGAATAAAGCTGAGCTGAGTGTGGACTGATCTCTGTTAATTCCCTGCACCTGTCGCCCACTGGCTGAACCTGAATATTTCCAGTCTGGGACGGTGTCAGGACCCCAGCAGAGCCCCATCCTGGCCCAGAGTCTGCTGCTCCTGCCACTCACTCATTGGGTATTTCTGTTAGTTGGAACATGTTGCTGTAAGGAGGCAGGTTGCATTGTTCTGACATGACAGCAGAGTCCTAAGATGGCCGACCTACAGGCCTCTTACAGCCATGTTGCTGTGTTATCTGGCTGGGATGAAAATAGTAAAAACGTGTCGATTAAATTGGTTGAAGTCTTTTTGGGCTTGATTCAGGTGAAATATCTTCATCATGTTCCTCTGGTACTGAGGATCAAAGCAACAAAACAAACGCTCCTTCATTCGTTTTTATAGATTTGAGCTTAAGCAGTTATAACCTGGTAGTTACCTTCTCTTCTTTTTCTACACTCAGTAATTATCTTTAAATTCATGTCTATTCACTGAAGAGCATCTTTTTTCTTGTGAGGTTAGGAGCGGATTTGACTTGAATCTGCATTCACATGGATGTAGCCTTAGCAACGTTAGCAGTGAGCCATAGATTGTTTCCCATTGTCCCTGGCCTTTCACGCAATAGGCACAAAGTTACACCAGCAGCAGGACTCACCGACTGCATGAAGGGGAGGAATAGACAGGAGTCAAGATTGGAAAGCTAGCCAATGTTAGCATGGTGATATCAAGGAGGGCTAATGTTAGCATGGTGTTAGCAAAGCTTGGCAATGTTAGCATTGTGTTAGCAAGGCAGGCAAATTTTAGCGTGGGGATAACAAGGTTTGCTAACTTTAGTATGGTGATATCAAGGAGTGCTTGTCGCTACCCGATCCGTACCAGTAGCACGATCCGTACCATCAGCTCATTTGCGCCTGCGTGAACAGAATAACTTCCGGGTCGCCAAAAAATAATGTAATTACGGTACTGAAAAAACTTTATTTATATCCTTAAATAATTAAAGAATACTAAACTACATCGTAAAGACAATATTGAAGACTTTTCTGGAAGAAATGGATGCTTTTTTAATTCAATCCATTGTATTGCTTGACGTCATCATCAGACATGCTAAGAGCAGTCTGGGAATATATTATAAAAAACTGCAGGTCACGAAAGGTAGCAAATGAATCCATTGTGGGATCAGTACTGCTGGAGTGCATAGTTAAGTACAGAGTAAATCAAATATTTAAACCAATTTAAATATATACGCTGTGTGACGTATATTTGCGCATGCTCAGAGCAGTCAAAGTAACTCACAAAGCGATTGAACTTTTTTATGTATTTCTGTTTTTTGATTTTTAGAAAATGCAATATTGACCAAAATACAAAGATGTACAAAAAGAAACCCATGCCTCTAAAAAATACAAAAGAATAAAAAAGTAAGAAAAAGGAAATATTGCCACCGGAAGTTATTCTGTTCGCGCAGGCGCAAATGAGCTGATGGTACGGATCGGGTAATGACAGTGCCAATGTTAGCATTGTGTTAGCAAGGTGAGCTATTGTTAGCATGGTGATATCAAGGAGGTCTAATGTTAGCATGGTGATATCAAGAAGGGCTAATGTTAGCATAGTGTTAGCAAAGCATGCAAACATTAGCGTTGTGTTAGCAAGGTGAGCTATTGTTAGCATGGTGATATCAAGGAGGGCTAATGTTAGCATGGTGTTAGCAAAGCTTGCCAACTGTCAATACCTGATCCGTACCATCAGCTCATTTCCATATGTGCAAGCAGATATCCAGGTCGCCATAAATAATGCAATTATGGTACTAAAATTACTTATTTCTATACTCAACTCACTAAAGAATGCTAAAACATTTTTTTTATAACTTTTCTGAGATAATTGATGCTTTTTACATTTTCTCCTTTAAACCGCATCTCTGACGGCGGGTTAAGGTTAGCATGGGGATAGCAAGGCGGGCTAAGGTTAGCATGGGGATAGCAAGGCAGGCTAAAGTTAGCATGGTGGTAGCAAGGCGGGCTAAGGTTAGCATGGGGATAGCAAGGCGGGCTAAGGTTAGCATGGGGGTAGCAAGGCGGGGCAGTTTCCTGATCTGAAGACTGTTTTCTTCTCCCTGAGGAGAGCATCTATTTCAGGGTCCATTCAGGGTTTGTTGATGGAGGAACATCCCATCTTCAGAGGGAACAGTGTTGTCCTCACAGAGCTATACTCATGGATAATGAGCACAACTTAGTCAGTTCTAGAAAATGGCGTTCTGCCCACTCATCAGTTTATTGGCAATAGATTTCCAATGGAATAGACGTTAATGTTGTAGTGATAGATCACAGAGTAAGCTTGATGTGTTTCTTCCATCAATAGATTATCCAGAAGCCCACTCATGACCTGAAGCAGCAGCTCGCCAACTTCTCCAAGCGGGTGGCCGGCAGCGTGACGGAGCTGATCCAGGCAGCCGAGGCCATGAAGGGTGGGTACAGCAGAGCCCCGCTTAATCCCGACTTAATCCCAAACATCTTCTTCTGAATTCAGAACCAACCAATCCTTTAATAGATTTCTGTATTGCTTTATTTTCCCTTTATGACATCTTTTATTATAGAAATAAATGTCTTTATTAGGGCCAGACTAGAGATTGGTTCTTTAATATGAGACTAAAGTCATAACATTATGAGAATAAAGTTGTATTTTATAACAACTCTAACCAGAAGCTCCGTCTTCGCTAAAATAAGGAATGTTGAACATCTTGTGAAGTTAAACTTATGCATCAGTTTAACAAATAAAGGAAATATGAAGTCTTTTAACATCTAATTATTATCATTATCAGACCTTAGAAATGAGCTGGAAGCTTCCTGTCTGAAACGGGGCGATATGATGATGTCATTCTCTTAAGATTATGACTTTATTCTCATAATTACAGAAAAATAAACTCCCTAGCCTGGCCTTAATACTCCATATTTTTAGTTTTTTCGTAAATGAATATTCAGACTCAAACTAAACCCAGTGAGGTCAGAGAAAAGCTGCAGCCTGATCTTCCATCATAAGCTGAGGGATTGCTGAAGAGTCGATGCAATCAGCTGGTTGTCCTTAGATAGAAAACTTTAAAATGTAAAGAGCCTTTAGATGGCATGATGTGAATTGGAGCTATAGAAATAAACTGAATAGAATTGAATGAGCTGGTTAGCTGTGACCTGGGGTTCAGGAAGATGCTAACAGGTCGAAGGACGGCGTTCCCGGGCTGCAGGAAGATCTGACAGCAGCTCAGCTTGGCTGTGCAGCCTGACACCGTTTGGAAAGAGTGAAGTCTGACGGTGTTTTGGCGCCGGCTGAGCCGCTGTGATCTCTGTGTGCTGCAGGCACGGAGTGGGTGGACCCCGAGGACCCCACTGTCATCGCAGAGAACGAGCTGCTGGGAGCCGCGGCCGCCATCGAAGCAGCTGCCAAGAAACTGGAGCAGCTGAGGCCGAGGACCAAACCCAAGGTTAGGGGCGGTCTGCAGGCATTCACACCTCATTTGTTATCCCCCCCCCCCGCTCTCTGATGTGCGGTCAGCTCCTGCTGCTTATCACGGTGTTGTTCTCCACTCTGACCACCAGGAGGCGGATGAGAGTCTGAACTTTGAGGAGCAGATTCTGGAGGCGGCCAAGTCCATCGCAGCTGCTACCAGTGCTCTGGTGAAAGCAGCTTCAGCAGCTCAGAGGGAGCTGGTTGCTCAAGGGAAGGTATGTTGGCAGAACCGGCAGCCTCATTCTTCCCGCTGTGGGGGGGCGCTCTAATAAATCAGCTGTTTCCAGGTGGGAGCAATCCCAGCCAATGCCGTGGATGATGGACAGTGGTCTCAGGGCCTGATTTCCGCTGTAAGTTACCCGCCTACGACTTGGAGTCATGAAGGTGAAAGACGCCGTCAGTAAACCTTTGTTCCTCTCCGACGTTTAGGCCCGGATGGTGGCGGCGGCCACCAACAACCTGTGCGAAGCGGCCAACTCGGCGGTGCAGGGACACGCCAGCGAGGAGAAGCTCATCTCTTCAGCCAAGCAGGTGGCGGCCTCCACCGCTCAGCTGCTGGTGGCCTGTAAGGTCAAGGCGGACCAGGACTCTCAGACCATGAAGAGGCTGCAGGTCAGCATGGCGCCTTCAGCCGTTCCCTTCATCCATTCACCGTCCTGCAGATACAGAACCGGGCCTGTTCCTGCCGCACAGCGTCACTTCCTCCCATAAACCACTTCTGCCCATAAATATGGAAATATCTTTTTTTTCTAAACTATTTGATTTTTTTACATTAAAACCCTATTTTATGGTGTCTGAGGGAATCAAAGGTCTGAAATGATGCCAACAGAAAAAAAAGCTAAAGCTAAAGGAAAATGCTGCAGGCAGCAAAAACATTAGAAGCGCTCCCACATCCTCCGCGTTAATTTTCAGATTATTATTATTATACGAAGTAATAAACACTTCATTTAATATGACATCATTAAAACTCACCATCAGCTTCCAAAACGAGCAGTTTCTGCAGAAACTTTTTTCCTTTCAGTCTTTGAAATCAATGATTATCCTACCAAATAGTTATCTTTCTAACTTCCAGGAGCTGCGTCTGTTCGCCATTATCTACGATAAGAAGATGCAGGCGAAGGATTATCGCAAATTTCAAAGCTTTCAGTATAAATAGATAAATGTATGAAAATAACCATCTAATTCGTGGTTACTGATCATTTATTTTGATAAATCGGATAATTTCGCTGTTTTTTGGGTTTGATACGACTGCGAATGCAGATCTTGACCTGGTCGGGTCCCGACCGACAGGAGCTAAATAAAGCTAGCTCCGTATTTTGGCGGTGGGGGAGTGAGAACAGGAACGTGGACGGCGACGTTCGGAGGAGTAGCAGCAGACGTGCAATCGTTCTCATTGAATAACGGAACTGCGCTAGCACTCCGCCTGACTTCCATGAGCGGAGGGGTGGCCTGTTCTGGTTCCATATAACTGGGTGAACGTCTCCCCCCAGTGGTCTGGAGCTGGTTTGCAGCTTTTCGTAGCATGCTGTTGTTTCTGCTACTTGCAGAACTTTTATTTAGCATGTTTGTCTGCTAGCATCATCGATGTATTTGCAGCAGGTTTTGTTTGCAGGGCGTTTGCTCTGTACTGCAGCATCTCTCATCTTTTCATTGGTTTTGTCCCAGTTCTGCTGAACCTTTAGTACTTTCTGCATGTTAATGTGTCTGCAGGACGTTTGCACCTCTCAGCCACGGTACTTCATCCATTGATTCTGGTTCTGCTCACCTGCTAGGATCATTTTCCCTTTATTAAAGCGGAGCCACAGTGACCAGCAGAGCTGATTCGTCTTCCTAAAGCCGGCGCCATTAAACATCCCGTGGCCGGCGGCTCCGTTTCGTAGCCGGAACAGTCAGGGATGAAATGACCTCAGTGGAAGGTGGTGACATGCAGGGCGGCGTACTGAAATCTTACTCCGCCCCTTTGTTGCATCTGCTGCGCCGTCTCTGATTGGCTGTGTGTGAGAACAGGGTGACGTGAGGGGAAATGGGCGGAGCTCTCTCAGCGCGGCGCCGTAGATGGATGCGCTGCAGGGTGGTCCCTCCAGAAGGACCCAGCCTCTATGTCTGTATTTTATCTCTATGATTCAGACACTTTCTGTCTGTCTGATCCGGCTAGCTGCTGCAGGAGCCGTGCAGCTGGTCTCTGAACCGAGCAGAACCATCAGAACCTTTCCTCTGTCCGTAGCGGCGGGCCGACCCGGTCAGCGCTGCAGAGCAATACTCCTCAGGTCAGAGTTTCTCAGCCAGTGGAGGAAGAAGCGGCCGCGGGTCAGCGGGGCTCTTCTGACCTTTAGCTGTAACTGATGCGCTCACTTGTTAGTCTCTGCAGAAAGTATCTGTTGTCCTCATCCTCCCAAAAATAACAAATCTTGCCGTGCGTGTTGGCTGTGAGCGCGGCGGCCAGCTCGTGTTCTCTGATCCAATCAGCGCTGGCTTATCTCCTCCTCTTCTGGGCCTGCAGCTGCCGCCACGCTAAATCCCGTGCATGTACGTCCATAGGCCCACTGGAAACAATCCACCCAGCCCATCCAAGGCACTGGGAACTGGAAACTCAGATCTATGATTACACTCAGAGCATCTCTGCGCTGCTTTTTAAGGCTACAGCTGCATAGGCTGCTGTGGACCGGCCCGTCTGGAGGTCCAGAGACAGAACTGGTAACTCAGGACCAGTAGAACCAGTAGAACCAGAACACAAAGATCCAAACGTAGAGCTTCAGTCTAGAACGGTTTTAAAGGATCCTGTTCAGCTCTGAAACTAAACCTTCATAATGAGACTGGAGACTGGAAGGTCAGAACCAGGAATCTGATGTTTGGCTGCTAGACTGAGCTTCCAGTTTAGACTGAGCTTCCAGTTTAGACTGAGCTTCCAGTTTAGTCTGAGCTTCCAGTTTAGTCTGAGCTTCCAGTTTAGACTGAGCTTCCAGTTTAGACTGAGCTTCCAGTTTAGTCTGAGCTTCCAGTTTAGACTGAGCTTCCAGTTTAGTCTGAGCTTCCAGTTTAGTTCTGACAGCAGAACTCAGGAGACGCTTGTTTAGTCGTCTGTTAGCTTAGCAAGGAGCCATTTTCTATGAAACAGAAAATCCTGAAGCTGCTTGTTTAGGGTTAATGATCTCTGCAGAGATCATTAACCCTAAACAAGCAGTTCCTCCATCCTGATTGGTCACAGATTAAAGGTGAGATAAAAACCAGGGAAATCTGAGCAGATCTGCTTTAAAAATCCTAGAATTAGAAAATATTCTTTGAGTTCTGCTCCAAACCAAGGAAAACTCTTTCTGCAGGTTTTCAGTCTGAGGATGGAGATGTTGTTCCTGTTTCATCTGAGTTTGTTTAACTGCTGGACTGAAAGTTTCCAGTTTATGTTAGTTGTCTGAGCCAGACTAACCAGTAAGGGACGTGGTGCTGGGCACTGGGACCTCTGCCAGCTGACCGGCTGCGTTCAGCTCTCACAGCCACAAAAGGAAAAGTTGTGGCGTCTGAAATGTTCTGCCCAATGAGGGAGATGTTTGGCTCAGCTTTGCCTTTTAGAGCAGAAGCAGAGATGTCCTCCCCGCTGTGCTCCCAGTGCTTTCCACCACAAACATCCAGTCTGCTTCTGTCTACAGACTGCTGGAAACGCTGTGAAGAGAGCCTCTGACAACCTGGTGAAAGCAGCGCAGAAAGCAGCGTTCGATGCCCAGGATGACCAGGCAGTGGTGGTGAAGAGCAAGATGGTGGGCGGCATCGCTCAGGTGAGAAGCTCTAGCCAACAGATGCAGCTTTTAGATGCAGAGTGGGAGAACAGAGATAGAATGAAGCAGAATGATGAAAAAGGGGTCCCTATGTCCTCCAGCAGTCTAAGCCTATAACAGCAGAACTATAGAGATAGATCAGGATAACCTGAGCCACTCTAACTAGAAGCTTTATCAAAAAGGAAAGTTTTAAGCCTAGCCTTAAAAGTAGACAGGGTGTCTGCCTCATGGACTAAAACTGGTAGTTGGTTCCACAGGAGAGGAGCCTGAGAACTAAAAGATCTGCCTCCCATTCTACTTTTAGAAATTCTAGGAACCACTAGTAAACCTGCAGATTGAGAGCGAAGTGCTCTGTTAGGAACATAAGGAACAATCAGATCTCTGATATCAGATGGAGCTTGGCCATTTAAGGCTTTATATGTAACTCAGACGAGGTTGAAACAAAATGGCTGAAGGTCCAGGATCTGATCAGGAAGCCTTCCTCTCAGAGCGCAGCAAACATTCTGATCTAGATGTGTATGAGATGTTCTGCTGTGGGATGTTACAGATCATCGCTGCTCAGGAGGAGATGCTGCGGAAGGAGAAGGAGCTGGAGGAGGCCCGCAACAGGCTGGCCATGATCCGGAAGCAGCAGTACAAGTTCCTCCCATCGGAGCTGAGGGAGGACGGCCAGGAGCAGTGAGAGCGCGGCGGCCTCCCATAGCCCCCAGGATGGAACATCATGTTTGCTTCCATGCATCTATGCAAAGTTTTTAATCAGATTTTTATATGTTTTGATATTTTATATAAATATATTTCTGCCTCTTCTGTCTGAACGCGTCCAAAGAGTCCCGCTGACAGAACTTCCTGCTAGTTTCTCCTTTTCAGTATTTTTTTTACTGTACAAAACTAAACTATGAGATAAATGTCAGGATTTTATGGTTTAGGTGAAAAAAACCGACTGTTTTAATCGGACCAGCTGAGAATCAGTATTTTAAAAGAATAAAATGTGTTGAACAGATGTGATCTATGTAGATCAGGACTGGATGGAGCGCCTGGTTGATCTGGAAGCCATATATCTACGATTCAGACCCGCCGGGGATCGATCCACTCCACCAGAACACAAGCACAGCCGGCCGGCGGTCTGAGCTCACTGATGCTGTTCAAACTTTTTTACAACTTCCTGCTTCAAAGATGGCCGCCCTTCCTGTCCAAGTATTGGTGTCTGAAGCTGTTTTATTATTAATGTATAATGATGAATCTCTGCTCAATAATGTGGTTTGGTTTCCTTAAACGCTCCGTGCAGGAAACCGTCATTCAAACTGTTTCTGTGGACCAGGTTCTGACCCGTTCTGTCCCGGTCAGACAGATTCCTGCACATTAAAGCCTATTTTCACTGAAAGCGGCCATCTTGTTCCTTTCTCTGTAACCGGCCTGCTTCCAGCTGGGATCGTCTCTAAAATAATACTGAAATATTATCAAGCATATTTCTGTGTTTAAAAGTCTGGAAGCATCAGTTGCTTTTTTTGTTGTTTTTACTGCACTAGTGGGTCGTTTTTTAGTAGGCTGACGGGAAAGGGTGTAGTAGGGCATGAGAGGGGGAGAGGCACGCAGCAAAGGACCACAGGCCAGATTCTAACCCGGGTCGCCTGCGCTGAGGACTAAGGCCTTCGTACCTGGATCGTGCACTAACCACCGTGCCACCTGCACGCCCAGAAGCATCGATCATAAATAGAATATTAGTTTGCCTAGTTATTAGATCCCTTAAATGGTTTATAACCCAAGCCGATGGTTTGGATCATGAGTCCTTCCTGCTGCTATTTTATGGTTCAGAAGCTTTAAAGTTTGGGAACCTCAGAGATTTAATCCTTCATTCAGTCCTAAATACAAACATGAACAATAGAATACAATTTAAAATAATGAGTTAAACCCAAAGGGAAAGGGTTAATAAGGAGAGATGCTTCTGGTAAGAATTGTCATAAAAGTTATTTTTCATCATCAGTTTGCTGGATGGATTATTAATAAGCAGGTCAGAGTCATTTAGACAAAGTTAAAGTAAAAAAACAAACAAACTTAAATGAGTCCCGAACATGAAGAACTGGACCTGAACATGAAGTGCTAAATGTGGGGAAGCTTCTGGATTGTTGGTCTTGTTATTCCAAAAAACAAAACAAAAAAACAATCCGCTGGATTTTGTTTCCCAGTTTGAAGACGTTTCTCTTCCATCCAGGAAGCTTCTTCTATTCTAAATGTCTGGATGTGAAAAGACAGTCTTTAAGGGTCATTGCTGGTCTCACCAGGTCAGACTGCTTCTTCAGAGGAATCTGGTATTTCAGGCCAATAAAAACCTCAACGACTTTCATTATTAAGGGCTGGAGCTGGTTCTCCAGTTTCTATCTGCATGTTTTCTAAACTAAAACCAGGCTTTGTTGGGCTGCTGGATAAAACCTGGAACTAAACACCATTTCTGACATTTTGGATTGAAAAATCTTCCTGGATGGAAGAGAAACGTCTTCAAACTGGGAAACAAAGTCCAGAGGATTGATTTTTAACCTCTTCATCCAGTTGTCACAGCTTTTAATGCTGTAGGCAGGAAGGATCTCCTGTAGAGATCTGTTTGTCCTGGATCTATAGAAGCCTTTGAATGAAGACAAAATCTAAAGAGGATGATCACTGCTGTCCATCATCTTCATCCAGAGGTTCTAGAGGAGTTTCTAGAACAGAGAGAGAACCTTCTTTATCAGCTGGTTGAGCTTTCAGTCATTAGCTGATGTTGATGATGATGGAGGCAGAGATCGGACTGATAGAAGTTCTGCAGCCTCTGAAGGACCTCAGCTTCCTCTAGAAGTCCAGTCTGCTCTGTCCCTTCTTGCAGACGGCTTCCCAGGTGTGTCTCCAGTCCAGGTTGTTGTCCAGGTGAACACCAAGGGATTTCTACTCCTCCTCCACTTCTTCTCCCAGGATGTTAACAGGATTCAACTTGTTCCTGTTTCTTCTGAAATCTCCAATCATCTCCTTGTTTTGTTGACCTTCAGGATCAGATGATTGTTTCCACACCATGCCACAAAGCGCTTCACCAGCTCTCTGTCCTCAGCTTCTGCTCCATCTTTGATGCTCCCAATGACTGCAGAGTCATCCCAGGATTCCTGCAGAGGACAGGACTCTGTCTGGTCCGGGAAGTCAGAGGTGAACAGAGGAATGGAGAGAGAACCGTCCCCTGTGGAGCTCCTGAGCTGCTGGATCAGACAGCTGAGCCTTCAGTCTACCAGCCTGTGGTCTGTCTGTCAGGTAGTCTTTGATCCAGGTGTTTGTTGATGCCTCCACCTGAGTCTGCTGGAGTTTCTCTCAAAGTCAGTCAGTCTGAATCTGGAGAAACCAAAGACCACGATCCTCACAGTGCTGCCTGCCTTGGCTAAATGACAGCGGGTTGGTTGAAGCAGGTGGATGATGACATCATGATTAAAATCACCAGTTATTGCCACAAATGCATGTGGCTGCCATGTCCATAGCTTAGCAACAACAGAACTGATGACATCACACAAAGTGTCAGCAACAGAAGAAGATGGTGGAATATAAACTGTTGCCAAAACACTGGTAAACTCTATCGGCCAATAATACGGTCGGAAACAACAGTTCAGCATCTGGGCTGCAGTGATGAATCTTCTCGCCAACATGTCCTCCATCTGTCGGTCACTAACTCTGCCAACCCCCCTCCTCTGAGCTTCCCAGTCCTCTTTAAATGTCTGCCTGCTGGTACGGTCAGAGAGACGCTGGAGTCTGAGCTATGATCCTGCAGCCATGTTTCAGTCAAACACATCATGCTGCATTGCTGATGGGTCCTTGCTGGGACTGGGAGTTCTTCTAAGATGTTTCCTAAAGATCGACACTGGCCATGATGACTGGTGGAAGAGATGGTTCACTGGATAAATAGAAATCTAAAGTTATTTTTTCTTAAAATAAGTGCATTTTACTCCTTTTATTGTCTTATCTCTGGTGCATTTTATCTAATTAACTTATTCCATAATAATCAACTTCCAAGAGTAAAAATACTCATTCCTTTTGCAGATCATCTTATCTATCTGCACAAATGAAAGGTAAATAAACTTAATGTAAGACATTTTTAATCATTTCTAGATTGTTTTTGCAGTGTTTAAATGTCTTGCTCCTGCTCTGCATCCTCAGCACCTCCTTCTAAACTCAGAGTTATTTGTGGAAGTATTATTTCAGCTTTGGAAATGTGAAAGAGCTGCTCTCAGGTGTAAACGAAAACAACTTGCTATGGATAGACCTCATAGCAAGAAAAACTACCTGAAAAACCTCCATTTGGACACCAGAAGAAAAAATCATTGGAGAAATAGAGAGCGGTGCGTAAAGGAGAAGCTAAAGTTCTCTTTAAAAAGAACTTTAGAATCAAGCTGACAGAGCTGCGCGTGCATCCACCTTTACAGCACAACTATTGTGCACTTCCAGTTTGTTCACACTTATTCAGGGTGGGGGGGCGTTTTTGGCTCTCATTTACTGTCAGCAAAAAAACAAGTTAGTCAAACAAAACAAAAACAAAGATAACTCAGGGTAGAAAACTCCAAGCTTGTTGTATTTTAGTGTAATTTAACCTGATAGATTCATAAAAAGTAGTGAAGGAAGTAAAGGAAACCAGAATAATGTTTCTTTATCAGATCTGAACGGATTCAGCCTCTTTTACTCTGATAATCCTAAATAAACCCAGTAGATCCTTCATTCATTGAGCAGAAGCTTTTAGAAAATCTACCAAAACATGGCCGCCCACCTGAGCTGAGGAGAGAAGCAGCCATGGAGGAGCTGACCATGAAGCTTTGTTCATCTGCTGCCTGCTGGCATCAGCCCCTGATCCTACACAGATCTCTGCCTGACTAAATATGGACAATGACCAGTGCTGATATGTGGTTGGAGCTCCTGCAGATGGGGGGGGGGAGCTGTCTCTCAGAGTCTCTCTGAAGCCTTTATCCTCACAGCGAGCTCCTGCACTCCTGTCTGCGTCCGGATAACCGAGCCGTCTTCTCTGCTGTGCTGCTGGGAGCCAGAATACAAACCCGACCATGGAGGCCATCAAGAAGAAAATGCAGATGCTGAAGCTGGACAAGGAGAACGCCATAGACCGCGCAGAGCAGGCAGAGGTGGACAAGAAGGGAGCTGAGGACAAATGCAAACTGGTAGGAGCCTAAATCATGTCAGCCTCACATCAAATCAAAGCCTTTAGTTTCCTTCCTGGTTAAACAGCTGGCTGAAGGTTGGAGAAGGTTCAGAACGTCCTGGGCAGTTTCCACTACAGGAAATCACATAGATAGAAATCCAATAGATCCTCTATGCCAGGAGGATCTAGTTAAAACAATGACATCAGCAGGTAAGGAGTGACTGTAGGAAGATTCAGCTTATTTTAGATGAATGTTTGGACCAATGAGACCTGAGCCTTCATCAGCAGATGGATGGATTCTTTCCTGGAGCCTCCAGCTCCTCATCTTCTCATCTCTAAGCTGTTCTTTGAAAGAAGAGCTGCTGGAGGCGACGTGGAAAAAGCTTCACACCTCCTGAGAGTGTCAGACATCGACCCACCATCCGGGTTATAAAGATCGCCCTGCAATAAATATCATCTATAGAAAACAAACAAAAAACTTCTGCGTCGTCGGACACCTGGAACATCTAGAAAAAAATGTCTTTGGTCTCTAAAGGTTGCTGTAGAAACATTACAGGGAAGATTTCCTACTGGTTTAATAAAATACCGTCTGCAAAGGAAGAACAGACACACATTTTATTAATATCATAAATAAATCAAAGTTATTCTGATTCAGGTAAATAATGAGGTTTAGATTCTAATCAGGTTATAGAAGCCTGTAGATGTCAGAATAACAGATTCTGAACGTTTTATAGAGAAATTTTGTGTTTTTGATCACATGCATACCCCTCACTAATGGAGTCACCCCAACCCCCCCACCACCATTCCTCGGGGAGGTCTAGAAGCACTAGATCTATATCCAGCCATTCAGCAGAGATCCTGCTACATGGCTCTACATCCTATTTTTGGCTTTTGACCAATTAGACGAGCCGTTGAATGATAGATTACCTAATGGAAATTAAGTTGAAAAAAAAAGTTAACAAGTTTAGAAAAACGGTAAAAGGATAATTGAAAAGTTAAAAATAAAGTTAAAAAGTTAATAAGCCTAGTTAACAATTCTATTTAGGTTTATAAACTAAAAAAAATCAGAGCGTTTTTAATTAATTTCTTCTAGAATCACTTATTATTTTTCTTAATATATTCGGGAGACTCTGCGTTTCTTGTTTTTACATTGACATTCATCATTGCCATCAAAATATCCAGATTATTTTAATGTTCCAAAGGTAATAAGATTTTGTCCTGGATTAAAAAAACTGGAAATTTGGATTTTCAAAGTATTTCTCTGAGGCCCTATAAAGATTTAACAAAGATTGCTAAATGAACATTTTTATTTATTACGATCTGTGTCTAAATCTATGTGCTGCGTCCTGGAAACTGACCTGAGATGACATGATGTGAGTTGGAGCTATAGAAATAAACTGAATAGAACTGAATTTAATTATAGCATCACTTTTTATATTAATGGTCGACATCATAAAGATAGAGAATATATGACCTCCTGATTGCTAAGGTTAACATAAACTCTGACTCATCAGTTTTTGATCAAACATGTCAGAAATCTTTCTTTCTACCATCTTCATCACCTTCTGCCCAAACAACCACCTCTGCTCTCCATCTTCAACCACAAAAACACTTTTTCCTTCTGCTTTTATAAAGAAGCTGATTCGATGTAGAAGATGTTTGAACCTTGAAGGAGCAAAAATAAAATAAAAGGGCATCAATTTTTTCTCAGATTAATTAGAGAAACCTCATGTTCTTTTAGAAAAAAATCGTTTTTTGTTCCTTGTTGCTTTAAAGCTGTGGGATTGATGCCCCAACAGGTTGCCCTAAAACAGTCCGTCACAACTGCAGAAGGGATTTAGGTAGAAAGCTGAAATCATTTTAAGAGGCTCTTGGCGAGGAGATAAAACTAATATATGAAAGAAATTCTGGAGTTTTCCTCTAAAGGTAAAAACTGGTTCCTCGTCTATGGATGTTGCTAGTTTCTAGAAGTTATTATTAGTTCACATGGAGGTCTTTAGGTATTGGTGATTGCTGATGTTCCGGAATTCAATTCTATTCAGTGTATTTCTATAGCTCCAATTCACATCATGTCATCTCAGGTCACTTTCCAGATCAACCAGATCATCCAGTCAGATTGATTCACAGTTTTCTATCTAAGGAAAACCAGCTGATTGCATCGACTCATTGACTCTTCAGCAATCCCTCACACTAAGCATGCTTGTAGCGACAGTGGAGAGGAAAAACTCCCTTTGAACAGGAAGAAACCTCCAGCAGAACCAGGCTCAGTGTGAGCGGCCATCTGCTGAGGCCCACTGGGGTTCAAGGAGACAGAAGCTGACATTAGAAAATGAAGCTAGATACAAAAGGCAACTGTCAACCAGCTCCACGGCGGCCCCGTCCAGAAAAACACACAGCCAGGCAGACGAGTCCGAGCAGCTCCCATGTCAGAGGATGAAGAGAGCACATCCAAGTTAGTCACAGTCAGAGAAACAGGACTCACTGGAAAACAGGCCAAGCTCCAACATCTAGGAAACAAAGGTGTTGTTGATGGCAGCGCACAGCTGATATTTCTCTCCAGGATGGAGTCACAGCCATACAGTTAAAACCAGACCAGATGAAGCTACTATGAGAAAAAGCAGAGATGGATAGATGGATGATTGTGGCATATTTAATTAAATTATTAATCTTCATTATTTAATTCATTTATTACATTCATCAATTCTTCATTAAATTAATAATTAATTTCTTTATATAATCATAATATTAATTAATACATCATTCATTCCTTCTTTATTTAATTTAATATTTAATTATTTAATTTATATATTTTTTCATATTAATTATTATTATTTAATTTAATTAAAAATATTTATTTCATTAATATTTATTTATAATTAATTAATTAATTAATAATTATAATTAAATTATTATTATTAATTAATTAATTAATTAATAATTATTTAATTATCTTATTTAAACTTTTTTTAATTTAATTATTTGATTTAATATGTATTATTTCATCGTTAATTCATTTCATATTTCAATTCATTAATTTTTAATTATTCTTTATTAAATTATTATGCTTTAATTAATTATTAATAATGTATTATTTCATTTATATCGTATTATTTATTTTTAATTGAGATGTAATTAATTAATATTTCTTAATTCATTAATTTTAATCATAATCATTAATTCATTAATTAAAAAAAAATAATTCATTAATTAATCATTAATAATTTTTTCTGTAATTAATTATTTCATAATTAATTCATAATATTTAAAACTTTATTATCTTCATTCTATTAAATCTTCACATATTAATTAATTAATCTATAATTCATTAATCTTATAATTATTCATTAATCATGCATATTATTTATTATATAATTAATTCATAGTTAATTAATTCTTTCTTTAATTCTATATCATAATTCTTTAATTAATTCTCTTTAATTAATTAATCTTTAACAATTCATAATTCTTTCATAATCATAAAATAATCATTATTAATTAATTCAATTAATAATGAATTCATCGAATATTTAAAAAAATTCTTAATAATTAATTAATTCATCATTAATTCATCATTAATGTAAATTCAATTAATATTTAAGTAATTTATTTATTCTTTAATTAATAATTAATTATTTCATTAATTAATTATTAATTATAATGTTAATTATTAATGAATCTTTAATCATTATCTTTAATTCTATTATTTAATTAATTATAATTAATTTAATTAATTAATCTTCATTAATTCATTAATTATTTCATCATTCATTCATTCATTCATAATTCATTCATTCATCATCAATTCATTTCATTAATCTTTCAGTAATTAATTCATTTCTTTAATTCATTAATTCATTCATTAATTATTATTATTATTTCATATCTTTAACAATTAATCTTTCATTCCATCTTTATTTAATTCATTAATAATTTAATTAATTATTTCATTTAATTAATCTTTAATTAATTATCATTACATTAATTTAATTAATTCATATTTAATTAATTTATATTTCATTCATTCATCATTATTTAATTAATTAATTATTTCATTATTTCATCATTAATTACATTCATCTTTTATTTCATTAAATTCGTCTTAATTCTTCATTCATAAATTATTCTTTCAACCATTCATAATTCATTAATAAAATAATACAATTAATCATTATATTTCATTTCATTAATAATTAATAATTAATTAATAATAATTCATCATTAATTCATCTTTATTTCATCATTAATTCATTTAATTAATCATTAATTAATTAATTAATTCATTTTCATTTTTAATTAATTAATTTATAATTCATTCATCAATCATTCCAATATATTTAATATCTACATTCATTCATCTTTATCATTAATTATATTTCATTAATTAAATTCATTCATTCATTAATTCATTCATAATTAATTTAATTATCATTCATTATAATCATCCATCATACTAATCTTCTTTATCTATAATTCATAATATTTATTATTCATCATTAATTAATCATTATTAATCATTAATTCATCATCATTAATTCATATTTATTTATCATTAAATTCATTCATTAACCATTCATAATTATTAATTAATTCATTAATTAATTCATAATTCTTACTTTCATCTTCAACCATTCATCATTTCATCAGTTATTTAATTCATTCATTCATTAATCATTCATTCATCTTTGAACTTTACTGATGGATGGATGATGGATGAGAGATGGATGGATGAGGGATGGATGGATGGATGATGGATGGATGGATGGATGGATGATGGATGGATGGATGAGGGATTAATGGATGATGGATGGATGAATGATGAATTGATGATGGATGAGAGATGGATGGATGAGGGATGGATGGATGGATGATGGATGATGGTTGGATGAGAGATGGATGGATGAGGGATGGATGGATGGATGATGGATGGATGGATGGATGGATGGATGGATGGATGGATGGATGGATGGATGGATGGATGATGGATGGATGGATAGATGAGGGATTAATGGATGATGGATG